CGTCGGCCTTTCGAGGCCAAATATGCCTTTCTTGCAAGGTATTTTGCCATCAAATGACCTGTGCTCTTGCAGATATCACATCTGCGCACAATCTGCTGCTCCTCAGCTTAAAGCTCAGCTTCTTCATCCTCTACTTGACTACAGTCCATGGGTACAGACAGACCCATCAGGCGAGTAGTTATATGTGGCAGGCCTAGCGGCCTTAAAGTTGGCTCGCTTCCATCCACAACAGCTTCCTCGAACGAGGATGGGTTTACCCAGAAGACTTCTGTTCTGGCAACGCCGACTCGGAGGCCCTCCATAAAGACCGTGACGGTCAATGCCTCAGACAAAGGGTCTATGATTATGGCAGCAATGAGAGTTCTCAATTTTTGTACATATGCCGCAAGCTCACGCTTGCCTTGGCGACACGCCAAAAACCGCGACCGGTTACGGTGTGCTTGGTTTGGCGGTGCATACTGCCGGATCATCTGAACTTTCAGATTGGCCCATGTGGGAAAAGCATCTTGCAATGATGCACCACTTGTGAATGCCCACTGTTTGGCTACACCAACTAACTTGCCCGTGACAAAGCCCACACGGTACGGTTTATAGGTGATGTCGGCTACAAACATAGGTGACTCAACCTGTCGGAACCAAAGCATAAGGTTATCACCTTCCTTGCCGTCGAACTTATCGACGTCCATTTGTATGGGTTTTGGTCTGCGGACCGCTTCTTGCGCCATAGTCGCCATGGGCGAAGGCGCAGAAGAAGGCATCTGTGCCTTTACATGCTCGACTAGAGCTTTATTAAATTCTTCAAGCATACGAATACGCTTGTCAACCTCTTCTTCGCCTTGGGGACTGAGGTACTCCACGCCCTTACGGCCAAGGATAGGGAGCAGCTTCTGCAACCCTTCCTGTTGTGCCTGTGACAGGCCAACCGCTGACATCTCATCGATGTCCATCTCACACAGGGAAGTAGTCGCAAACCCAGGTGGCGGATTGACTGCGGGTGCTACCAGGTGTAGCCGAGCTACTGTAGCCATGCTACTTACGCACTATGTGCAGAGGAAGACAAGCTCAGAAAGCTTCGACGTCTTAGGGTGCTTAACCCTCCTAGGCTAGCTTGTAAGCTTGTGCCTATCAGTATTAACAACCGAGTCTCAGAGAGGCTAGTATCAAAGTTACTGATTCCTTAAAGGAAAGGAACGCTCAAGCTGTAAGGCTATCAGAGCAGGTTTGAAACTGATTTATATTTATGTTTATCTTCTAACACTAAATATAGAAGCACCTACTGTATACTCAGTGCTAGTCACTATTTACTCGCTCTATAGCCTGTTATTATGATGCAAACATGCATAGTCACTATACTTTAAATAAGTATAGTGACCACGTGGCTCTCTGCCACAATGTGACCCTTCGTACTTCAGGTACGGTCACATCACCTACTTTTGTACCCAAGGTACAGCCACACCACATTGGTGTGGCAGGTGTGTATGTAAAATACACATCTTCGTGTAACCCCGTTACAACATGGAAATAATATAGCACATTCCACCGGACAATTCATTTGCTTTTACTTTTGAAGAAGTAGGCAGAGCCATATTATTAGGAAATCTATACGTGTTTTGCTTTACCCTATTAGCAAATGTGCAATCAAGTGTTTAGCTTTCAAGAGCGCAATTAATGTATTGTCCTGTCCAAGCTACACAGCAATTATTCAATGTGGACTACGGCTTCTGGTAAATGACTTAGCTAATTTGTCATCAGAATTTGCCGACTCATGATGAAAGTATTCACGAGATTTTACATCACGAGCTACGCGGCATTCGCTATCAGGCCAAAGCCCAGCCCAAACGGTGGCTCGACGTTATTGCGCTTATATTGGCTGCAGAGACTGAGCGATCACGCGCAAAGCTTACTGTTCGCTCTGAGCAAAACTTGTCAAATTCAAAGCGAGAGTATAGTAGACCGACCGAAATCACATCGGCTCGGAGAGAAGTTGGCCTAGGATTTCAAGAGATTGCACTCCTTTCGTCTGAGGCGGGCCCCGTTTTTGATAATATCCTGAGTGACATCATCACGAAAAATCTAACAATTGTCTTTCCATCTAGTTCAGTCTTATCTTTACTACCTATCTAGACGGAGTTTCTCGCCGTGCTTGGAAGTGAGCAGCGTTTGTGTCGTTTGGGCATACCTTTGCTGTAAATAGAACCTTACCACTAGCGCGTCCCAACGGTGTCTTAGAGAATGACGATAATGACAGTTCTGGGTGCTTCAGCGGATCCACCGTTGAAGCAAACAAAACTGACTTGGCTGTTAAAAATACTACAATTATCGAAAAGCCAATTGATTCTGGACAACAGCAAGAGCGACATCGATCTCAAGAGAAGCAGCAAACTTTGCTATATCTCAACGAGGCCCATCCGTGGTATCGCAGTGATTTTGACTCAAACTAGACTACGAGTCATTGCTTCTTGGGAAAACGCTAGCAAGAAATGCACCGACACGGGATTTCTTCCAGGTATCACCACTTTCTTTGCACGATGTTGACTCGAAACACGGTGTTCAACACAAAGTACGACAAGAGATTTTTCTGTGCTTGTATTTACGGCTGATCATAGTGCAACGCGCTTATTTGCCATTTTCCAGCTGTGGGCTACACGGGGACAGATTTTGATCTTTCGACATCTACGATTGAGGTTATTTACCGGAAGGATGATCCAAGTGGGAAAGCTGACAGTGGCTTATCGTTGCTTTTACATTAACATCTTCTATCGGCAGCGTATGCTTTAGAAGCAACCAGAGGCAGAAATAGCACTAACGTACATTTTACTTCAATTTACATAGATTTTTTAGGTATGAGTTGCTAGTAATTGAACCACTAGTTATTGTACTGTCATTATTACAAAGTATAACTACATGAACGCCTGCCATCAACTTTTGTTTCATGTAGCTCACACCACAAACCTCTATCTAATACAACAATCACAATATTGTCATGGTCGTGCCATGTTGACTTGTTATCACCCAACGAGGTTGTATTGCTCAAACCTAACAATTTTACATGAATAAATATATTGACGACAATCAATTAGAAGGTTTAAGTATTTTTGTGTGGTGAGCTCGTACTCAATGTCCTGAACCCAAGCGTCACGTCGTACGTGAGGGTCTTGAAAATCCATCAAGTTTTGATTTTTCACGTGGCTTTGTACGAGAACTTTGGATTCAGATTCCATGGACACAATAATTAACTCAATCAATTCAAGTGAAGTTTTATACTATTTAGCGTATTCTAACACGATGGAATGAAAAGGAACAGAGAGTCACACAAGATGAAGTGGTTAGGACAATCGCCATAGATGGAAAAGAACAACATGAGAAGAGTAGATGAAACGGGGTTACACGAAGGTGTGTATTTTACATACACACCTGCCACACCAATGTAGTGTGGCTGTACCTTGGGTACAAAAGTAGGTGATGTGACCGTACCTGAAGTACGAAGGGTCACATTGTGGCAGAGAGCCACGTGGTCACTATACTTATTTAAAGTATAGTGACTATGCATGTTTGCATCATAATAACAGGCTATAGAGCGAGTAAATAGTGACTAGCACTGAGTAAAGTAGGTGCTTCTATATTTAGTGTTAGAAGATAAACATAAATATAAATCAGTTTCAAACCTGCTCTGATAGCCTTACAGCTTGAGCGTTCCTTTCCTTTAAGGAATCAGTAACTTTGATACTAGTCTCTCTGAGACTCGGTTGTTAATACTGATAGGCACAAGCTTACAAGCTAGCCTAGAAGGGTTAAGCACCCTAAGACGTCGAAGCTTTCTGAGCTTGTCTTCCTCTGCCCATAGTGCGTAAGTAGCATGGCTACAGTAGCTCGGCTACACCTGGTAGCACCCGCAGTCAATCCACCACCTTCCCGATCTGCATAGCGTATCCCATGTGCCTGTCGGTGAGACGCAGTAACAGGGTATTTTTGTGTCGTAACGAGCGATAAGCGCAGGCACGCGATCAGTAAACAAGCCAGCGGCTCCCAAGATTGCCAATGGGGGATATTTGACCATAAATAGGTCTAGCCACGATCATAAAATATGGTCAAAGGGTGACACGAATGCATTAATAATGAAGTGTCGTGTCTCTACCGATCAAGCTCAAAAACGGCTTTGTGGAATTAAAGCTTCGTGAGACAACTGGACATCCTCCTACCGACAAGAAGTTTGTGGTGATGGCTTGAATACTTGAAACTCTTTACGCAGAAAGTATCACCAGCCAAACAACGCTCATCAAACTTTAAAAGAAAGCTGCTCCAGCTGATAAGTGAGAAAGTTGCACTTGTGATCAAGGATTGTTTTGCTACACACCAAAGCCTTTTGGGCTTTTGAATAATGGTTGCTTCATAATGTGAAAAGGATTATTGGACTCACACCAAAATTAGCACGCTGGGTCAATTACGTCGAGCACTTCAACGATCAGGAATCCGACAGCCAAAGTTCACGTGTTAAGAAGTCGTTTTGAAATATTACAAAGACAATGCCGGGCTAACGCCAATGTAGCTGTAGGGTAGGCCCATGATGAACTACAATAGCTCGATCAAGAGCAACTCGAACAAGGAATCAATCCGTGCCATAGGATAAGGATTACAATGTAAAAACATTTGTTTGGGCAACACGGCTTGATGTTAATACATATTGAATACGTAAACGCTTCAAACAAAGAGTACTCCTGAGTGCAAAGTTTGCGCGTTGGTCTCCATCCGTATGAAATAAGACGAAAAATTGATAGTCCCTAACTCGTGTAGCCTGATATTACGGTAGTTTAGTAATTTGACCAGCTCGGGAATTCGTTGGCTTTCGCGATCTAGGTCTTTCGCTTGGTAGAGAGAACATCTTTCTACCAATTACAGTTTTAAGCTTTTCCTACTCTAGGCATAGATGTAGCAGGCAAGTGTAGTACTACCGACTTTATTCAACTATGAGAGAACCTGTTTACTGCATTCACCAAGTGATATCATGCAAAAAGCGCGTGTAGTGCTGCTTGCTGCGGGGCTGCGAGAGAAGACCATGCTTGAGTCATAATCAACTCAGGCACCGTTGCACGGAGACTAGCTAATGTTAAAGCGAGTTCTTGACGAAAAGCAGAAGCCTCCTTCTCACCTACAGCCTCGCTCATCTCACGCGAGAATTTCTCGTCAGCTACTGCAGAAAGCACCGTCACAACCTTTCCGAGATGTCGAAAGCCGGGTGTACCTAGCACAAGAGGATGCCGATCTGTCACGTAGCGGCACAGACGACGTGAAACGGCGAGAGACTCTTCCAAGTCTCCGCGAAGTGGAAGAAGCTCTAACCACTGTGGAAACAGCACTGCGGCGTCAACAGCGCCGGACTGGAATTCACAAAATTTGCCCAGCGCAGCCACCGCGTTGTCGGTAGCATTTCGCTGTTCTGGACTGTGAGCCAGCGGGTGTGCCACAACGTTACGAAGCAGCTGGAGGCATTGCTCAGCATGCGGCGCGAACGCCTCCCCGCCTTGTGAAGCGCACATACCGACGCCAAACGCCGCAGCTTGCACCAGACCAGGCTCATTCACTTCACGCAAAGCTCTTATTAGAACGGGCAAAAAGACATCCAGAGAACGCATAGCGGTACCACCACAGTGCTCTAGCACATCATCCACAACAAATAGTGCAAGACGACGATCCTCTATGAGGCATCCAGGGGCTGCAAGAGCTGCCACCTTCTCCCACAAGAGAGCCATAAAGACTGGGAAAAATCCAGCGCCGTGAATCTTGGCAAGAGTCCCGATGCATTCCGCTAACACAAATTGAAGCTCCTGCTCGGCCACTTGGCTCTCACTTGATTCAGAGTCCTCATCATCGTCATCTTCTTCGGTCTCACCACTTTCCATGTCGTCACGGCCGTCTCTACCTCTCCGTATCGCTCGACGCTGGAAGCTGTCGCCTAAAACTACTAGGAAGCCGTGCACTAGTTCCCGCAACTGGGCTTCGTTGAGCTCCAACGTCGGGTGCAGCTCACGCGCATTCCAGAGGCAGCTTGTCATGCTCTGCATAATGCTTACGACCAAATCGACATCAGGCTCAGAGGTTAGTGCATTTACCAAACGGCCAAGAACAAAGTCCACCATCTGCTTGATAGCAGCCTCATTGTGATTCTTCAATCCAGACGCCGCCGTAGAAATGGCGACACATTTGACGAGGGCCGGCATGGCGCGAATGGCTGAGGCGCGGATGTCAGAGTGCACCGACTCAGTCAATAATGGGGCAAGAACCTGTGTCACCTGCTCCGCATAGGGAAAGAACGCGTCTTCCAAATCTGTTACCATGCCAGCTAAAAGCTGACAGGCCGTAGCTTTCTCCTCGAGAATAGACGTTCGAATGGTCAGGCATCTGTCGTTGACTTGAGCAAGCTGGATGTCCTCACTATCTGTGGAACCTCCACTTTCATCATCCTCATCGTCACTGGACAACGTAGAAGGGACCACTTCAAATTCCGCCTGTTGCGTTGCAGCTTCAAGGAGAGTAGGCATCACGAGCGGCAAATACGGCGCAAAATTATGGCCGAGACATGTGCAGCAACGAGCCCAGGCCTGTAGCAAGTACGTGCGAATAAACTCGTTGCCAACGATAGACGGCGTCGCTTGCACTTCTGCCATAACCTTAAGGATGCCAGGAGCGTCGCGTGAGAACACATCCTTGCCAACAGCCTGGCCAATAAGGCTCAGGCATTCGAGCGTGATACCACCAAGAGTAAATGAGCTTGGTGCATTAGACTGTGGCTTCGTCACTGCCGGTGACGTAGTCGCAGCTTGCATGCTTTCTTGGAGGCAGTTCATCAGAATTTGCTGTAGAGGAGGCATGACAGCAGCATAATGATTGGCGAAAGATGCCCCAGCTACCGTTGCCACCGACGAAATAGCAGTGATAGCTTGTTCTTGAACAGCGCGCTTGGTGACAAAAGATTGTGTAGGCGTTTGGTGTGCATCTGGAGCCATCGCTTGACCGTGCTGCAGCAAAGCGAAGAGCTGATGGAGCATTTTATCCAGATATGGCGTGAGAAGCTCAGGCGGACACATATCAATGAACTTGCGCAAAGCTGTGGCTGCATGAGCCTGGAGACGTGGTTTGTCAAAATCTTTGAGGTAGTGTGCCAGTACAGTGAGCGCCTCGCAGTGATAAGCCGTTTGGAATTGCGGAGCTTGGTCGACAGATAGTTGACCGATGACATCAATAGCCGTACAACAAACACGCGGGTGCGGATCATTGGCCTGAGCTAGTAGGTAGCGTACGATAGCGTCCAGCTTATCATTGTCGAGAGCGTCTAGAATCTGGCAAAGACCAACCAAGGCAGCATGACGGCTCACCCAGTTGTCAGAGCGGGCAGCATACTCCTGAATAAGTATAAAGCATATAGGAAGCGAGCGTTTAGCACCCAGTGCACCAACTAATCGCTCCAACGCTTCAGAGCCCACATCAAAGTTAGAAATCTCTTGGTCAATGCCTTGGCCGCAAGCCGACTGTTCGTCCTCGCAATTTGCAACATCCCAGGTATCAATATCATGCAGTTCCAACATCATCTTGAACGCCACTGGGTAAACTGTCTGCACAAACATATTCTTGGCAAGTCGTCTACATCTTGCAGGAGCTTGTTCTGCCAGTGAAACTAAAAACTCCATGGCCAATTGCCTACATCCATCAGGCATTACATTATTATCATCGCTCTCCTCTTTTGGAGCATCTGCTATCTGTACCATCGTCTCTACAAAGTCCCGCAATCTCGGTTTAAAGAAAGCAGCGTGTGGTTCAACTACTTCAATCAAGACTTCCAGCGCTTCCATCACTTCTTCAAATTGACGTGTTACCAGCAACAAGTGCAGTGCAACTAGCACAAGAGGTACTACATCGACCAGTAACTCTGGCCGAGGTACTTGGTCCAGCGTGTCTAAATTTAATAACAGCATACCCAATGCACGTAATGCATTCACAGCTACACGTCCTTGCTTATCCTTTAGTCCTTTTGTCATTGTTTGAAGTACAATGACATCCAGTGCCATGTTATTTACCGTAGTTTCAATGTCCAGTGTCATTTGGTTGGCTAGAAAAATCGCAATCATCTCTAAAAGACGCAATGAAGTCTCTCGTAACGTAATCATTGATGAATGATTCCACTGTAGTATCTTTGGAACTAGTTCATCCCATTGTCCATCTTCTAAGATACTGCTAGCTAATTCACCGACAGTATCACATACTTTCCGACGAATGCCACGATTGTTTTCACCAGCCTCGAGCACTGCAAGCAACTCGTGCTTGACAATACTACGAGCTTCTTCTGATGCTCTTGGCCATAGTGAAATAGTATCATGAAGTAATACACGACGTAATAAGACAGCAGCTAACGCCCGGACATCGTCTGGACTCGTCGAATGTACAAGATGAACAAGATTTAGTAACAGTTCATCACTTGATTCCGTTTGTTTCAGGATTGTAAATTGAATTTCAGCTTGATTACGTGTTGTATTATCAATTGATAAGAGATTCCATAGTAATGTATTGAATGACGAGGACGAGGTGGGAAGGAGGAGACGATTATCCATCAAGAGAGAGAGACACTGGACGTTTCTGCTTTGATTGGTCACAATGGCTGGTGATAACAATTGGTTGGATAATTACATGAGTGTATTTGTTGGGTGGATAATTTTATAGAACATGTAGTGTTATTTTTTGGTGCAAGTGTGTTTAAGTCGTTTCGACTTTCGTATGCTTTATATTTATTAGGTATACATTTTCTTGCTGCAACATAACATGCAGAAAATAATATAGTAATTTGTCGTCAGAAAATAATTGTTATCTGTGCATATCTTCAATTAATTTTAATTGTCAGCAAAATTTTACAGATAATAATTGCATGAAAACCCATGGAATCAGATCTCCCCGCAAGCACTTGATATTTTTACTGCTCTTTCTTCTGCTTCCTTCTCTTGTTCACGTCAACAATTAATGCAAGATCACAGACAAATGCACGAGCGAGTAGAAATATCACTGGAATCAATACAATCTGTGCATTGACAATTCCAAACATGGAAATGGAATTGCCAATTTCCTTCCAACTGCCTTCATTCTTGACGAGAAAGAGAAAATGGAGTGCAAGCACATCGGACATGGCGACAACGACAAGGAAATAACGGACTGCAGGAAGACGCAAAGTCTCTACTTCATCACGTGACGACGATGGGGAGTTGGATGGAAGAAGCAAGATGAGATGAAACGTACAAGCGACAATCATAAATGGAATCAGAATCTTTCCCACCAATAAGGCACCCATCGTAAAAGGCGCAAAGACCGTCACAAAACGGTAAGTCGACGAGATTTCAAAGCTGCTCATACTAGCGACATTACCCGTGCCAAAGAAGGCAATTTTGACGAGCAAGAGAAACACAAATGCACGCTGAATCTCACGCCATCTTGAAAAACGAGACTCCAATGCAGCTTGAGCTTCCAAGAGTATCCAGCTTACAAGAACACTGCACAGTACCACGTAGAACAACACCTCGTACGCAATACTTAGTAGAATGCATGAAGGTGCAAAGGCTAGCATCACTTCGATGAGTCGTTTTACACATTGACCAACGTAAGCTTGTACAAGCAACTGATAGTCCTGACAGTCCGTGTCAAGTATCACGACTTGAATCGGACCGGTTGTGCGCTGTTGTATTCTAATGAGCAACAGCACGATAGGGACACCAGACAAAAGCCAATTACCTAGCGTAAGTAACAATGGCGGCTTACTTCGGTCACCATCCAAATACTGCATTGTGCTGTGCAATGTCACCAACGACAGAATCAGTGGAGAAGCGTTCAGCGCAAAGGTGTTCATCCAAGCTTTACGTCGATCAGACTCTGCCATAGTCAGCACTGAGCCGGTAAACAATAACGTCAAAAGACCACCCACATGGACTAACATAGTGTGCTCGCCATACTCGCTGGGAAGATATGGAAATATGGAGATGAGAAGACAGCACAGCATCCAGCAGCGGATAGGTGATGGGAAGCTACTAGTCCACACAGCTTGAATACTATCTTCGTCAGCACTTTTACGTGACGTATGCTCGACGTAAGGCCACACTGAGAGGAGTGAGAAAAGGATACCAAAGATCTCTCGGCGTTCGTATCCAAACACAACAAGTTCAAGACACACCAAAATTAGCGCTATCTCTGCCCATCGCTTCCAACTTGACTTGGATGTGCTATCTCCTTCACCTAATGTCCACACTTGAGTAATTCGATCGACATGGTTCCACGCAAAAATACCAAAGATCAGTGGAAATAGTACGTACAGGTAGTACGTGACTGGTGAACCCTCAAGGAACAGGTATACGAAAGCTGCGAATATGACAACAGCTAGATTGATATCCAACTGCTTGCCATGCCGACCAAGTAACCACTTCAAACCAAAGTCACGCGGGTGAAAATAGGCCACCCCTACCACAATCATCCATCCAACATAACCTAGAACGACAACGCCGAGCAAAAAGAACCAGTCGTACCGCTGGAAATAGTCCAAAGTAGCCAAGCATATTTCAATCAGCTCCTGGCTCAGCACCTCTACTCTTTCATGCGCATCCAATTCTCCGTCACTGCAAGGACTGGCATCATGAGCGTCAGCAAGTTGCTGCAATAGCTTAGGAACATGGTCGCGAAACGGACCATATGGTACAAAGCGTAACAATGTGCGTGACTGTTTCTCCTGTTCCTTTCGCAGGGCATGCAAATAAAGCTGCTGCGCGTTTGATTTTACAGCTTTTGCCCGATACGCTCCTTTTGCCAAGTATGAAAACGGCAGCACACCAACCGAGTTGCGCGGGTATGGCTGCCCCAGGAGTGCACTAATAAGTGGTGCAACATCAGCCTGCATCACATCTTTTCTCACCAAATTGTAGAGATCTCTCCATTCCTTAACTGCCGCTTGTTCCTGCTCTTCCTGTGCCTGTATCTGGGCTCGGACCTGCGTTCGAGACTGCGTCGGTAGATCAATCTCAAACTTTCCAGTCCCTTCCGTCCTTATTGGTCCCTGGACACCAGCTCCCCATACCACCAAGGGCGTACGTGTATTTGCCGGATCACCATCACCATGAGCTCCTTTTAGCCCCATTCCGTGATCTGCTGTAAAAACATACGCCGTTCGTCCATCATAATTGTAAAATTCTTCCACCATCCGATACGTTTTCTCGACCAATTCATCCACGAGTGCAATATTATTGAGATAATCCTTTGAATTTGGTCGATGGGCGTGGCCATTCGAGTCAATACCCAAATAGTGACAAAAGACCACAACTTGATTTTCATTCAATTGACGATTCAAATTTGAATCGTCCTGTGCTCGATTCAAAAGTCTCTGCAAGTGTCGAAAGACCCAAATATCTAATTCGGACGAGTCCTTCTTGGCAAAATCTTCGTCTGCATGGGAATAATGCTCTTCAAATGCTTGTGCCACATGACGAGCAAACATCGGCACAATATCTGGACTACCAAATAAGTAGGCGCTGCTGCTTTGGTTAAAGATCGAGTCAAAGTCCACAGGATTATCCGCCCAACCCTTAGTAACAGCGCTCACATCCTCGTACATACCAGCAAAGAGCGCCACGTGACCAGGACGACTCTCAGTAGGCACACGCGTGTGCGAGACACCCCAACTCCCTTTTGTTTTGATTATATGACGTAGAAACGACACTCGATGCTCTACCGTGTCGTCGTAGGAAGCATTGACTTCAAAAAACTTGTCTGCTCTACAACCGTCGGCGACGAACACGACGACGCGTTTGGCTGGTGGCGAGTCTGTGTACGTCAAGCTTTCAATGTGAGGTACTATAGGTGACGTAAAGTAAATGTCAAAGATACTGAGAATGTATACAGCATGGAAGAATACACCCAGGACAAGTAAGTGAGCCAAGCCATTACCACTAGATTGTGTGGTCATGGTGGTACAATGCTATTGAGAACGAAATTGCTCTCTAAAGCATATATTCAGCAATACAAGGAAAACAGATAACGAGCATAAGGACGCTATTATAGTATACAAATCGCAAGACATTTTAGTTTTCTAATATTAACTTGAGCCAAAAAAGAACCCGAAAATGCCTTCCAGGAGTCAAAGCATTCGAAAAGAGGTCGAAGTAGCGCTGCATGAACACCGCTTCCTCGTGACGAAATTGCTTGAATCACTTCATACTTCCTCATTGTATGTCCTTATTCATCTTTTACTGTCATTGTATAGGTTTTTGTATCATGATTCGGATGTAAACTAGTCATCTAAACACGCTTTTCAATCACTAGACCACCATCAACTATTACAGCCACGAGACTGCGTACAGTGACTGAGACATTCAACAAAGTACTGGAAAAGGATCGTGAACTACTGGCAGCTGTGAAAAATTGTACGTCAGGAGAGAAAAATGACGAGAATAGGACGATTTTCTTGAATTGATTGGAGACGCATTTCATTAGTGGCTCGACATCAGGTGGCGCAAAAGGAATTGCTGCGGATAGAGGCGGAGATTGAACACAAGAAGCAAAAGGTAGTTGAATATGCAGCTCAATTGCGTCAGTCTCAAGAGGAAATTGCCAATGTGCTGAAAAAGCATTCTGTAGTGCTGCAGAATGCCAAACAGAAGACCAAAGGTGAGCGGCTGCATTTCGTAGAGACGAGATGATGTCGACTGTACTGATCAATGAACTGTTTTCATGATCTATTGTGCTTGTAGTGGTCCTTGATCCTCGTGATATTGTCGCCTATGCGCACCGTATTGCTGGCACAACATCGGCACCAAAGGAGTGGCAGCCTGGAGTACGTTTGGATTTGTTATTTAATGCGGTAGATGGTGTGAACTGTTGCTAACAGTATTCATGGTGTAACTGAATGATATAGTTTCCAATGTTTGGCTTTATGCCCCCAGCACCGCAGGAACACATGATGCGTGCGGGTGTGCTGAGTCGTGGTATTGTCGCCGAGATCGTCACGCAAGGTCCAGAGAAGTACACGTCAACCGCAGTGCGTGTAAAGCAGGAAGGCGCTGGTGGTGAAGATATCGAAAAGCTTGACATCCCGATTGGATTGGGTGCGAGCGATGCTCAGATCCGTAAGCAAATGCCGCCAGGATGGAAACCGGGTGACCCGGTTGATCTGCCGCTTGATGCTTTGCTGCACTATATGGGTCGAAGTTTCTTTGTCGAACACGGCATTGTGTTGCCAGAGTCTTGGAAAACAGGTGACTCACTGCCTTCAGATGCTATGGAGATTTTGCGTAAGAAGTTCAAGCTGCCGGAAAAGCGAACGGCTTTATACGACGACGAGGTAGTCGACGACGTTGAGACTTTGCGTAAGAAACGCAAACTTGAAGAGGGTGAAAAGACTGAAGATGGTACTGCTGAAAGTGAGAGTTCAAGCGACTCAAGTGATAGTGATGAAGAGGCTCCAGACACAATCTCACTCAGCCTCTCGTCTTCCGAAGACGAAAGCGAGAGTGACTAAATTGATCTTGTCACAATGGCTATATCGTGATGCATGTCACATGGCTACACAATGTTATACAAATGAATTCGATGTTTTGTGACGTTTATGTTGAACAGTCGTTCGTATCTTTAAGGATGTCGCCTTCCTAAACGAGGCTATTGGTACAGACTGAAACAATATAGTGACTAAAACAACAGACATTTAGTGACACACTGGACTGACCAATCAACAGAAGAAAGAAGGTTAGATAAAAATAAATAGTAGACAATCGTTAGCCACAACTGTCTTGGTTTTTTCTCTATCACCTATTTGCAATTTTTGGTCTTGTATGCTTTTGACTATTTCTTACTCCCTATTCCGCACATTTATTCATCTATTACCACATTCATTCACCTTATTTGGTGACTAAAACCTTATTCAAATAATTGCACCATTTTGGACTCATCACTTCGTTTAGTATTCTAGTCTACAAATGAACCAATTCATCACCGAATCAAGTCTTGTCTTGTCATCGAGACGCTATTATTACGAATGTAGCTTCACCAAAAGGTATTTCGATGAAGACACCGGGTAAGATCCCAATCACTCCAATGCAAGGTGATCATTTACTTCATTTGCAACGTCATTGGGTATCCGTAGTCAGCGATAATCATCAACTTGTTAATGGCATGACAAGTGTTTCGATTGATAATATCGATGACATCAATGATGCTCAATGTTTAACAGATAGCAAATGTGCTGTTGTAGCTTTTGCTGGCTTGTCTAAGAAAGGGTATGCTCCGTACAATCCACGGAAGAAGAATCAGGATGCCATGGTGATCAAATATGACTCAAAGTCACAGACACTATTGTTATGTGTATTTGACGGTCATGGTGAAGCTGGAGGCGGTGCTTCTGCATCGATTTGTGACCGGTTTGCATCAGAGCTCTTTGCACATGCTCAATTGAAGAGATCGGAAGATTTGCAGCAGGATGAAAAGAGTTTACAAATAGCTATTGCAGACACGTTACGATCAGTAGAACAGAGTGTCTTGCGTGACCCTAGTATCCATACGGAGTTTAGTGGAACGACTGCAGTTGTGACTGTTGTGCGAGACAATCTTGTCGTGGATGGTAACGTTGGGGACTCGAGAATCACACGCGGATATGTGAGGTCCTTCGGGTCCTAAGGCTCTTGACAGTCAAGAGATTTCTATTGATCATAAACCCGACCGACCGGATGAAAAAGCGCGGATTGTTGCTAGCGGTGGACGAGTGTTTGCAGTTGGGTACGACAATGGTATTGACGGCCCTCCTCGTGTATGGCTGGGAGACACGGATGTACCAGGTCTTGCCATCGGGTGATGCCGTTGCACATACTGCAGGCGTTATGTCTGAACCAGAGTTTACCTCTCGATGGCTGGATGAGAACGATCGATGTCTTATTGTGGCGACGGATGGGTTGTGGGAATTTATGTCGAACGAAGAGTGTATGGAAATGGCTATGGGACAGCAAGATCCCAAGGAGGCTGTGAACATGTTGATTAAGGAGGCTAATTGTCGCTGGATGAGAGAGGAGCAGGTGACCGATGATACCACGATCATTGTGGCGTATATTGACACTGTCGGCTCGAAGAAAGACATCAAGGTCACGGATAATTGACCAGGCGAAGTCAGAATATTTTGAAGCTTGGTTATCGGATCTAATCATTGCCAGCCCGTTTCGATGAACACAAAGCTTAACGGCAATGCAGCATAGATACGCTTCGACATCTTAGTAAGGATACTGTTGATGCTGGAAACAGGATGCAGTTTAGGATTATGAATCATGTAGCAGCTGCATAAGCGGACGATGTCGCTCGAGCGCAAGATATAACACAATGAAACATGTTGGAAGTATTGGTGAGCGTACGAGAGAGATGTAACTGAACAAATAGCTCCATGATTGAAATCAGCAGCGCTCACAAAGTGTTACTCGCTCTCAGCAAAGACATTTCCATGTTGTTTCTTGGAAAGTAAAGTATAGACAAAAGATGTTGATCAAAGCAGGTGCGTGCTCGCGCGTTGGAAGTACTCCATGTTGAGAGATGGTAGAAAGTGGAAACGTTGACAAGAATGCTACAAATCTGGTAGCGTAGTGGTGCCGCTACAAGGGCCAAACTACGGTGTATGGTGTCATCATGTTGCAACGTAAGTTATCGGACTGTATACGTTGATCTGACTGTGCGTGTTTTTCGGCTCGTTGTTCAGATTTAACATGTTGATGCCATGTGCTTGGACGCTTTACTACATTGGTAGCACATGCACTGAGATCGTTAAATACCTTCAGAAGTATGCAGCGTTGACGTGATTGATATGATAGATGCGAATGTTTATGAGCACAGTGCTTGAAGAGTAGACAGTAGATTCGATAGGATACATTCATTAGAGTGAAGTAATGCTAGAACATGTCGAATCAATCCCATTGTTTAATTCATCAATGAAAGGGTCATCTCCTTTGACGTAACATGAAGTTCGGAATCAATCGACACCGTTAGCACCAGATTTCTAGTGAGTAATGGCTACGCTCAATACGTTCCGTCAACACGAACACGCGTGGATGTTGAGCGCGGCCGTGAGGTTTTAATAGCGCAGCCTTAGCAATGTCGTGGTCAGTGTCCGCCAGCATGAGAGGAGGTCTAGTACCTTAGGTAATCTATAATGCGGTTGACCTCATCATGAATATGCTAATAATTGACGTCAAGTTCTATGTAATGGCTGGATGTCACCATTCTATCTAGTCTCATGATCAACACGCAATATTGCAGTGTGTATTACCATTACTAGCACTAAAGAGAGGTGACCGAAAAGACCGTCATCGCTATAATGAGAAGATAAGCGTACCACATGCATAGTGACGGTACAAGGCTCAAGCTCTTGTCGACATGCTGGTCTTCGAACAGAAAAGACTAGATGTCTGCGACGTAAAGAGACACACATTAGGCAGAACCGTTGCAAGAATAGCTTATGTTCCACCACCACCCGCAGCAATATCTTGCTTAATGGCATTGCAAGTTGATACGGCGAAGTCATGAGAAGCAAAAGCGTTCTGTTCTTCTGCAGGACTGTTGCTGACATAGTCCCCGACATTACAATGACAACGAAGTATACGAATCATGATGACAAGACGCCAAAACTCTCCACCAGTGTCGTTAGTTATCTATAACATATGTATATATCATCAAACAGTAGGTTGAAAGGCATACAGAATGCATTGTTGAACAACACTAGAGACAAAGCTTCATTTACTCAAACAATGTATTAACTGGAAGGTTTCATACTAATGAGACGGTATACATACAATAGGATTGGTTTTCTCTCAGTAAAGCATGTTGACAACATGATAGTTCAGATCTCAAAGATTATTACATTGCAATTGATCATTGAGAAATCGTCTTCTTTTCGTTTCAATATCCATTCAATGGTTGATAATTCCCGTCAACAAGAAAAGTGTCCACATGATCAGACCTGAGCATCACACACACTCTCGAAAGAGTACAATGATAATCCCTTAGACCTGATTGACGGATCTCAAACTTTTATATAATCATTGGGAATATAAACATATACATAAACATACTAATGGACACTGACATTACAAGTCTTTTCACTTGCTATCTATCAACTGAATCAAAGCCTCAATGACATCTTGTCACACCATCATCGTTCATTGTCAACCAACCAATTTTAATCCATATAATAAATAACACCAGAGGCTTCGGTGGACCACGCAATATATAGCTGATAATTAGACGATTGCGTTCGTACATGTTGTGCGGATGTCGTCTCTCATGTTTGTTGCACGAACGTCTCTTGTACAATAAATACTGACCGACCACATCATGTCTAAATATCAAAAACCATGTGTTACAAACATCAAGTCATGTCCAAATCTCGATATATCGAAAAAATGCCGTCACACACTCCCAGTCTCACAGCAGTTCTGCCTCAGTTCTCTACATTGTTTTTGTATCATGTTATCCTCTCTTACCAAGGGCCTCATTGCACAAGGCAAACGCTCTATGAGCACGATTCGTTATTCTGAATTTGGTCATCCATTAACTGTTCTCAAGTGTGTAATCCAAGTGCAATTTCAATAGTATTATTTAATTTCTTTATGACTACTACTTATTACTTACATACTACTACTTACTATTGTAGGATTGATGGAGATGATGATGATAATGACAAGGATGTGGCTCCAGGCAAAGGCCAAGTTGTCCTCAAGTTTCTAGCTGCACCAATCAATGTGGCGGACTTGTCGCAGATTCAGGGATCTTATGGCATTAAACCTAAACTCCCAGCCGTAGGTGGGAATGAAGGTGTAGCCATTGTTACAGCTATTGGTGACGGTGTCACGAATGTGAAAGTTCATGACCGAGTCATTCCAATTCATGCAAGTTTCGGTGGGTGATTACTTTTCTTAATTGTTATAACGAGTGATCAATATTGTTACTGAAGGTTTATTTACTATTGACGATCATTGATACAGGCACGTGGCGTAGCAAAGCTGTGGCTCAAAGTAACGATGTGATGAAGATCTCAGAAAAAATTAAGATTGAGGATGCAGCCACACTGGCCGTGAATCCATCTACGGCCTACCGTATGCTGAATGATTTTGTGACGCTCAAGAAGGGCGACGTGGTGATCCAGAATGGTGCGAACAGTGCCGTTGGTCAGGCCGTAATCCAGCTGGCTGCTTTGCGTGGCATTAAGACTATCAACATTATACGCGATGACGGTGACTATGATGAGACGGTGTCACATCTGAAGAGTCTGGGTGCCACCGTTGTATGTACGGCTGACTACATGGGCTCGGCCAAGTTTAGAGAGTTGATTTCGGACTTACCGGCTCCCAAGCTTGCCCTGAACTGCGTAGGTGGAAAGACCAGTCTCGAGATGGCAAAGGTGATGGCTAAAAAGGGAGTGCATGTCACGTACGGCGGTATGAGTAAGGAGGCTGTTGCCGTTGGCACGGGCACGCTCATTTTCCACGACATTACGCTGAAGGGTTTCTGGCTTAGTCAGTGGGTCAAGGACTCGACGATCGAAGAACGTACGGCCATGTTGTCAGAGCTTGCCGGTCTTGTGGAGGCTGGTAAACTGCGCACTTGGATTCAGACATATAAGTTTGCCGACTTTGGTGACGCATTACACGCTGCCGTGAACCGCACAACGAAGCGTAAGGTCGTCTTGCTCATGGACTAGATTGAGTTCTGTCAGTTGCTTGTGAGGCATATTAGCTAGCTCGGTACATAGTTGCGGATCTACAGAGAGGAAGACGTGTGAAAGCGTGGGGACAACACGACACCAAAGTGCACTGAATGGCAGACCTGAATACAAAAGGATAAAATACAAGCAATGGATAGAATGTGCGATCTATTTTGACGTCAATAGCGTCTTCTATCTCAAGTTGATGTCCTTACCTATACGCCTAATGATACAGTAGAGCAAGGTGATCATCAGTTGTCTTCCTCATCCTCATTTTCTCCTTGGCAAGCACTTTTGGCAGTTCTTGATGCATTTGTTGTCTTTCAACCGTCATCTGGTCCTTTGTAAAAAGCTGAAGTGCTCGACTCAATGAATCTACCGCCTCGTACGTCCCTAACAGGTTTCGACCAGGCTTATATCCCTTGGCTAGGAGCAAATGAGTACGTGGCCATTGTTCCACCTTGATCAAATGTAAGAGCACAACGAGCCATGGGTCCTTTATTTCCCAGCTAGGATCAGCTTCTGACAAGGCGGCCACGTCAACGGCTGTATCTCCCGCTACTTCAGTGCCTAGACCACTATAGAATACATTGAGGTTACTGTCCTTAGCGTACGGTAAGTGCACAGCCGCCAAGATCGTAAGCGTCTGGACGTTGGCCTGACTCATAGCAGAGACCAATGCATCAGCCACGTCCCATCGCTGTGTCACGTCGAGTTCATTCGTATTTACTGTAATAATTGCTACTTGAGTATCTGGATACTGATAAATTTGTATGAAACGACAGAGATGAGCAGGTAAAAAAAAGTTTTCAATCAGACTTTCGGGTAGAACAAGACACGCTTGAGTGTCACCAATCTTAGCAAAGCGTAAAACATCTAGAATAGAAAGAATAAGGTACGATTGGAGAGATCAAGAAATGGAGAATGAAGTAGTATATAGAACATACTTTTGCTAGCGTAAGAAATGTCGTCAAAGGCAAGAAACACACGTGATGAGAGGCGCGTCGTCATATTGGACGCTATTTGAGACTGAGAGTGGACAAATGGGTCGTTTTGAACTATCAAAATGGAACAAAACAATCATTCAGCTAATGCTTTGGTAGTCATTTCAAGATGCAAAGAGAGTTTTGGAGAAAAAAGATACAAATAAGTTATATGGGAAGTCAAAAAGGAAGTATACATGAAAGAATCTACTTACTTTTCTCAGTCTAAACTCTTCGAATATTATGTAAATATCGGGGCCCAAACAGCTATATAAGGCTAAGCAAAATGTAGCTATAACGAATTAGTTTTGAACATGCTGGAAGGTAAATAGGTCTAATTTATCCGGATAGATGGTAAAAAGAAACTAAAAGCCCGGAGCCTATTATACTACCTAACTGTTTTGTCCGTTGCCATCGATCGCTTCTCATGGGTCCCAAAGAGTCTCTCTGCTTTATTTCAGGATTAATTCGCCTTGTTGCTTATTGCTTGATATTGATTAGCGCAGCTCTTAAAACACCATTGTGTCTATCACTAGCTTATCAAGCACATTCGTAATTGACATTTGCGTATGAGCGCCGTAGTATTATCACTAGCTTTCAAAGCGACTGAATGTTTAACACTTGCCTTTGGAGCACATGAGTGTTCAGCATTCGCTTATCGCTGTGCCTTCTCAGAGAATCGCTTCTTTTAACTTTAATTGTGTCCTTTAAAAAACCCTTCCCCAAAGATTCTTTGCAATAGCGAGACCATCTTTCGTAGCTTCATATTTCCGACGTGGCGATCGTCCAGGTAAGAACGTCAGCTCGCATAAGACACGACTCGCAATACACCACCTCGATCCTTTCCATCGTGCTGCTACCTTTTTTAGGCGTACAGCAATATGCTTTGCTCGTCCTACGCTGTCTTGACCTTTTACTTGCTTGATTGCAGCTTAAATATCGACGTGCATCAGCATCGGCGCGGTCACTCGCACGCCGATGTCACCAAGTAGTTCATTCAGCCCTAGCAGGTCGCTTGCCACTGGGCGTGACGCCACACTCGACCCTTGTCGTAGATAGTGCCACGCTAACCTCCTCTTTTTGATAGGTCCAACCGACAGCCATACCATTTAAGCCTATCAAACCTCCGCTTACAACTTACAGTCCGCGCGGTCCGCTGCGTAATCCGCTTCACTGTATCCTCCAAGTGCAATTTCCTTTCCTCCTTTTCCAAATGTTTCTGTTAGCTCCACCTTCACATTAATAGTCTCCTCAGATAGCGAACAGATTGCTTCGCCCATCGTCAGTCTTTGTCTCATGGTGCATGCGCTCGCCGGCTGGCTCGTTGCCCCGCAAAGGAAAATTCCGGTCTTGTACATCGAGACAGTCACAACAAGCTTCCAATCAACAACCAAGACGTTGTTTACGGGTGGACTTTCGAATAAGTTGTCACATTCACTTGGTAGTAAGTCGCACTTGTCCTCGCTAACTTGTTCTTCATCAATAGGCGTGCGTGCAGAGTTAGCTTGTCGCACATGACATACAGCAAGTTCTCGCGAATGCACTGAGTTTGGTCCAGTTTGAACCCTTTTTTCTGCTCATACGGAACAGCAATATCTAAAACCTTAGTCTCACATTTCCGAGGTTCTTTTCTCCAGTACTAATAATGTTCTTGAAGAGCTGATCGCTTTGCAGACCCTCTTGCCTGTCACCAATAGACCATTCACGTAGACGCGTACTAATGTAGTCGTAAACTCCCCCCCATAAGCTTTTTTGTATAGACATTTTTTTGGTGTAGATTTGTATGCAGCGAATTTGATATATATGTCGCGTGCAGAAGCTGTAGACACAACCGTCTAACCTAATTCAGCTCATACAGCCTTTACGAAGTCTCATCGGCGGCACCTTGCTCTTGTCATTAGGTATCAGAATCTTCATTTCGTCCTTTACATAGTAAATGCTCTGTGGCACGTGAAGCGCGATCTCGATATCTCCTTCTTATCTGTTTTATATAAGCATTAGGAACATCGCTATGTCGAGCAGACACCTATACTCGCGCGACATCAGCACTACCTTTACCGACGTTATGTCCCCTTTGGCACTGATACCCAAGGTGTAATCAAAATCATAAGACAGATCATTTCCACAATCCACGAACCTCGCCGTAGCTTATTCCAGCGCCACGTATGCGTGTCATTATATATACTGGAAGGCATCAGTTGATAGATAGGCCTCCGAATTTCATCTTCTACGTGCCAATTGCTCTAAGCGACACAATTTTGGAACGCATTGCGTCGCGCCAGCGCGCATCACCTTTACACTGTACTTCTTCTGCCAATGTCTTTGGATATTTAATCAAGCTGACCATTGCAACTGGCACATGTTTAGTGCCCATAATTTGCGTGGTCATGCGCGTTTTATTGAAGCATTATTGCTCTAACATTGCTTACCCTTAAATTTCGTTTTACACTTTTTGCTAATCCTCATGTCACGCGCTTAGTAAATCATTAAGCAGTGCCAATGCATTCCTTTTGGTTTGTGGTCTTCTCCCTTTCTTTAACAGCTTGGTTCAACTTGGAGTAAGGTTTTTGTAATTTACAATTCAATTAAGTTTTCTATTAATTTGTTTTTTTTATCAAAAGGATTATATAAATTTGAAAATTTTATTTTTTTAAAATTAATTTTTTTTATCTGTCTTCAATTGTCGATTTCCTTCAATGCTCATGGTCGCCACGCTTTTGACGTGATGCGTCGTTACAACTTATCGTTCTCGTGGTAAATTTACCCATTGGTATCGTCGTGCTTCCCGACAAATATTCTTCATCTCGGTTCGCAATTATCATTAATCCTTTTCGGATCACGAAATGTCATGCACGGGCTCTTCGCTCATTATATCAGGAATTATAGGCTTCTCACTGGTGAGATCTTCTATTGGGGCGCTTGTATCACATTCGCGCTACTTAGGTTTCGGCTCAAGAGTAAGTAGCGCATTGCACTGCGTTACCCCAGAAGTTCAATGAAAAATCGCTTACAAAAGTCATGCATCGCGCCATATTGAGCACTGCTCTGTGCATTCATTCTGCTTCTCCTTTAGATTATTGGTTTCCATCTTCGCTCACTTGTCTGGCGGCACTAAAGAACTTGCAAAACATGTTGACGTCCCGATATTCAGCACTACCGTTGTTGTGAGAACGTGCGCTTTGCAATTAAACTTGCGCTTGAAGAAAGCTAGTAAGTGCTTAACACGTATGAGTTGTCGGTAAAGAATGTCTTCAAAGCTTTATCGACTTCAAGCCTCCGTGCGCTCGTCTTATCTATGAGGTTGTAGACACCGTGAAGGAGCTGAGCTAAACAACTTGTATCGATCAACTTTTTTTGCAGTTATTCGTTGAGAGGCAACGTTTGCCTCTAAATCCGACATACTTTGAATCCACATTGCTTGTTTGTGACATTAAAAGTAATTTAAATGCGTCATGGAGATCAAATGGACGTCGTTTTATTATCGCTCCATTAACTATCTTTACTAGTCATGCTCAGCTGTAAGTTTTTATACAGGAAATATAGAAAAAGCTTCTTTACCACTCTTGATTAATCTAACTAAAACTGATCTGAATCATCCCTCAACACTTTGCTAAAACTCAAACATAGCAGCCATGTCCCTATTATTGCGCGGCAAAATCCTGCTGAATTCAGTCATTGGATTGACAATGTTAACCACACACCGATAATTGACATCAAGCAGTGGGTGCGTTTGACCTTTCAGGTTGCCGCAGACGGCGCCGTTAATCCATCAATTGTGGAACACTTGCCGCTATCCTTCTTTGTGCGTTTTTCGCCTGTTTTTCTTGAACTTATGGAACATAGCTTGGTCGCTTTCCGTCGATCAGCTCTATACCCAATTATTCACTGTCCGCCATCCTTTCAAGCGTGAGATGATCCAGGCGCTTGTGAAATCGTTAAGCGTGCACTTCACGGAAACATTAATGTTACTTCCAGTATTTGCATCGATTTGGCTGCATAAATCACATCGTTTCTTTTCGGTGCAGCCTCTTCAATCTGTGCACACGTAAGTACTACACTTTTTAAATCTACAGCCTCGAACTTTTATTCTCCATCACCAAAACGCTAAAAATAGCAGCGTACGTCTTCGTTGCTCAGTGCAGCTTTTTTCTCTTTCAAATTACAGTATGATAGCAGATTGTGCGTGGGTTTCTTTCCATAGCAGACATCGCCAGATGTACATATGTGCGTATCGCATCCCCAGTGACACGCAACGTGACCTGCATTATCTTGTTTGTCAGCAGCTTTTCATTTGTCATAGCAGCTGACCGCAACGACAAGCATTATGTAATGCATAATTAGATGCAGGCTGTAGCCGCAATTAACTATCAAGGTCTGACTCTGACCACAGAGGCAGGTACCAAAACTAGATGCAAATGACTCCTTCTCTCCATCAGTTTTTTTCTTGCAATCGATCTTAGAATGGCCGAACTGGTTACACACACAGCAACTTCGTCCATTGCCACGCGCCAAAGTGGCCTCCGTAACAGTAGCATTGCGTGTAGTGTTCCGGCTGTAAGTAAAATGTTGTATACTCCATTTACCGCATTGGCGCTTGCATCCTGTTATAACGTACTGGCGAAGTCCGCCATCACCCAAGCTGACTTGAGATAGTGCGACGACAATCAGGCCGCGTGTCCATGGCTCGTTTAACCTCTGCAAATGAACTCGAGCACAAACCGATCAAGACAGTTTGCCTAGCTTGACATGAAGACCAGGTACTGTTATTGCTTGATCGCTCTACTTAAATGCCCGCATTAATCTTGTAGCTTCTTTTACAGAAATTTATGTGTCGTGTACCTCGCTCGAGAAATCTTGTTCATTAGACGCGACAAATTCAACTGGATTTGGTGTCGGAAAAACGGTTGCCATTTTCAACCGCCTAATTTGATTTACCTTACCAATCTTGCAATGCCTTCAAAATATTATAATGTATTTGCATCTTGTATTCCCATTATCCACGTCTTCTGAGGCGTTAAACTGCGCCGATCTCGTTTAAAAAATGTAGTCTTCAATCTTAAATTTAAATCTGTGTACTTTGTACTTTCTCTTCCAATGGAACGCTCGATATACACCATTATATCGTTGACGGTCGGCATCTTTACCTCAAATTTTATGGGTCGGGTAGAAGTGCTTCCCAGGCTACATACTTGCCTAAGCCATAGGCATAAGCATTAATAAAACTGCTGTTTCTGCTGCGCTCGAGGCTGCAACATCGCACAAGTCTTTTGCATACCCATTACTTTACTATGAAATCCGGCTATGGTATGTTATCGGTCAGCCACTATGTACTAGCTGAAGACGCTTGAATTCTCTTACACGAATGCTCGTGTCCGTGGGAGGCAGCTGGGCTTGCTCCACGCGTTCCCGCACCAGCTCGCACATCAGATTCCCGATAAGTCCTATAAGTCAATCTATACGATCTGTGATATGGTCAGAGGCCCCGGAATAATTCGTTTGAGTGATCCACGCGCTATTGCTTGCCGTCCCATCGACCACATCTGGGCGCGTAACAAAAAGGAGCTGCAGGAAAATCTTTTGGCAAACTTGTCTCGTATCCTACACTTATCTGTGCCTGGTAGGTAGAAGTTAGATACAATTTTAATATTTGAAGCTTAATACACTAGCTAACTCGTGTGTCCGATGCAACCGATCGCTTCTTGATAAGTCCCCAAGAGTCATTCTGCCTTTATCCAGATCCGTTTTGACTTTCCAAAAAATCGATTGACCTTCTTAGTGAGCTTCTCCTTTAGCATCTACTGCGTCCTTTCAACAAGAAGTAAAACTGGTTGGGCTGTCACCAGAATATTGGAATATTTCAATGAACGAGAGTGAATGATCAGATATCTTGTCGCAGAAAAAGAAGATACCGTCACTCATGTCACTTGGACTCATGTCCTGACATCTTGGCTTGCAGCCACCAACACCAATCACGGTGTTTGACAATGTAACACCATTCTCATGACACATGTCATATGTTCCATCTAGTGGGTTTTCAACCACACTATCGACAGTCCTTGGGCCTCGACCAGGATTTTTGTCCTCGACACTTACAGTGTCTACAAAGTCGAATATTCCGACATCCAACATATTGGCCGACTCGGTCCAATATCCGCGCCAAAAGTGCGTTTGCTTCCCTAGCAGAGGTGGGTTCATGACTCTCCAGAGCCCCACCAGGAGCATTGCGCGTTGCGCCTAAGGTCTTCGACCAATCAATCCATGGCTCTTGACATTCTAGCCATGCCATGCCCAGGATGAGGTCATACCTCGCATTCAGTTCTAAGACCAAACAGCGTTCCATGCTGTTAAAGTCCAAGAACTTTACATTTAAGTCCATCGGGACTTTGGGTACCGTAACACGCGTACCCGTCGCTAAGCTAGCCGTGACTGTGTCACTCTCACGTGCTACAAGCGCTTCAGCATAATGCTGACTACCTTCCACGGTGGCACGGCGCACATAATTGTCCGATGCCCCCAAATCGATCAAAATGATCCATGGCTTATCATAGCTCTTAACCGTCCCTTCGACGAATAGCAAGCCTGGCTTGCATTCCCGTTTCGTTTTTGAGAGTTCAGATCTCTTTGGGGCTGGGCTCTGTTTACTTCTACCTCCTAGAGGTTCAACAGAACTCAGTTCTTCCCCAGTAGGGCGCCCCGCGCCTACTGGGTCTGCCATTTCCCCGCGGCAAGCCTGAAGGTTTACCCATGGGACGTCGGCCCTTCGAGGGCAAATATGCCTTTCTTGCAGGACATTTTACCATCAAGCCAAATATGCCTTTCTTGCAGGGCATTTTGCCATCAAATGGCTGTGCTCTTGCCGATATAACATCTGCGCACAATTTGCTGCTCCGCAGCTTCAAGCTCAGCTCTTCATCCTCCACTTGACTACAGAGTATGGAAACAGACCCATCAGACGAGTAGTTATAAGTGGCAGGCCTAACAGACTTAAAGCTGGTCTCGGCATTCCATGCTACTCCAACAGCTTCCTCGAATGATGGCGTGCTCACCCGAAAGGCTTCCGTTTTGGCAACGCCAACTCGGAGACCATCCATGAAGCCCGTGACGATCACTGCCTCAGGCATAGGGTCTATGACCATGGCAGCAATAAGAGTTCTCAACTCTTGCACATATGTTGCAAGCTCACGCTTGCCTTGGCGACACGCCAAAATCGCGACCGATTACGATATGCTTGGTTTGGCGGTGCATACTGCCGAGTCATCTGAACTTTCGGATTGGCCCATGTTGGGAATACATCTTACCGTGATGCACCGCATGTGAATGCTCACTGTTTGGCTAAGCCACATAAATTGCCCGTGGCAAAGTCCACACGGTATGGCTCTTAGGTGATGTCGGCTACAAACATAGGTGACTCAACCTGTCGGAACCAAAGCATAAGGTTATCACCTTCCTTACCGTCGAACTCATCTACTTCCATATGTATGGGTTTTGGTCTGCGGACCACTTCTTGCGCCATTGTCGCCATGGGCGTAGGCGCAGAAGAAGGCATCTGTGCCTTTACATACTCAACTAGAGCTTTATTGTACTCATCAAGCATACGAATAAGCTTGCTAACCTCTTCTTCGCCCTGGGCGATGAGGTACTCCACGCGTTTGGGCGAAGGATAGGGAGCAGCTTCTGCAACCCTTCCTGTTGTGCCTGTGACAGGCCAACCGCTGACATCTCATCGATGTTCATTCTCACACAGAGAAGTAGTCGCAAACCCAGATGCGGGATCGACTACAAGTGCTACAAGCTGTAGCCGAGATACTGTAGCCAAGATACTTATGCACTACGTGCAGAGGAAGACAAGCTCCAAGAGCTGTACGTCTTAAGGTGCTTAAACCTTCCTAGGCTAGCTCGTAAGCTTGTGCCTATCGGTTGTTACAACCATGTCTCCAAGAGACTAGTATCAATGATACGATTCCTCAGGAGGAATAGAACGCTCAAGCAGTTATGCTTACAGAGCAGGTTTAAAACTGATTTATATTTATGTTTATCTTCTAGCACTAAATATAGAAGTATCTACTCTATACTTAGTGCTAGTCGCCACGTGGTCACTATACTTATTTAAAGTATAGTGACCACGTGTGCTCTATGCCACGATGTGACCCTTCGTACTTCAGGTACGGTCACATCACCTACTTTGTACCCAAGGCACAGCCACACCACATTGGTGCGGCAAATGTGTATGTACAATACACACCCCGTTACAGATATCGGTGCTGATACGTCTCCCCTCTCCTCCTCAGCGCTAGCTACTGCCCGCCGTGTGACTGGGGTAGCTCTATCTCATCGCTCAAGGTAGATCCGACTTTCTTGCCCCCCCTGCGCCGGCGTCAACCGTTGTTAGCGACTCTGTTGTAGTGGTCACAGGTACTGCCGCTGCATGTAACCTCCAAAGCAGGAGAGACGGTCGGGATCCAGTGGGTGTCCAATAGAACTGCCTCTATCTGGGTGTCCCTTCCTTGCCCCTGGCGGAGGCGGGTTTCCTCGCATGCACTTGGATGGCTGAGTGAGAGCCACGTGTCTTGTCCGATTTTACTCTACGCGCACTACGTCGCAGATGAAGTGTGAAAAAAAGCAAACTAGTAGTAGATTCTTATATTTATACTTCCTTTTTGACTTCCCATATAACTTATTTGTATCTTTTTCTCCAAAACTCTCTTTGCATCTTGAAATGACTACCAAAGCATTAGCTGAATGATTGTTTTGTTCCATTTTGATAGTTCAAAACGACCCATTTGTCCACTCTCAGTCTCAAATAGCGTCCAATATGACGACGCTCCTCTCATCACGTGTGTTTCTTGCCTTTGACGACATTTCTTACGCTAGCAAAAGTATGTTCTATATACTACTTCATTCTCCATTTCTTGATCTCTCCAATCGTACCTTATTCTTTCTATTCTAGATGTTTTACGCTTTGCTAAGATTGGTGACACTCAAGCGTGTCTTGTTCTACCCGAAAGTCTGATTGAAAACTTTTTTTTACCTGCTCATCTCTGTCGTTTCATACAAATTTATCAGTATCCAGATACTCAAGTAGCAATTATTACAGTAAATACGAATAAACTCGACGTGACACAGCGATGGGACGTGGCTGATGCATTGGTCTCTGCTATGAGTCAGGCCAACGTCCAGACGCTTATGGCTGTGCACTTACCGTACGCTAAGGACAGTAACCTCAATGTATTCTATAGTGGTCTAGGCACTGAAGTAGCGGGAGATACAGCCGTTGACGTGGCCGCCTTGTCAGAAGCTGATCCTAGCTGGGAAATAAAGGACCCATGGCTCGTTGTGCTCTTACATTTGATCAAGGTGGAACAATGGCCACGTACTCATTTGCTCCTAGCCAAGGGATATAAGCCTGGTCGAAACCTGTTAGGGACGTACGAGGCGGTAGATTCATTGAGTCGAGCACTTCAGCTTTTTACAAAGGACCAGATGACGGTTGAAAGACAACAAATGCATCAAGAACTGCCAAAAGTGCTTGCCAAGGAGAAAATGAGGATGAGGAAGACAACTGATGATCACCTTGCTCTACTGTATCATTAGGCGTATAGGTAAGGACATCAACTTGAGATAGAAGACGCTATTGACGTCAAAATAGATCGCACATTCTATCCATTGCTTGTATTTTATCCTTTTGTATTCAGGTCTGCCATTCAGTGCACTTTGGTGTCGTGTTGTCCCCACGCTTTCACACGTCTTCCTCTCTGTAGATCCGCAACTATGTACCGAGCTAGCTAATATGCCTCACAAGCAACTGACAGAACTCAATCTAGTCCATGAGCAAGACGACCTTACGCTTCGTTGTGCGGTTCACGGCAGCGTGTAATGCGTCACCAAAGTCGGCAAACTTATATGTCTGAATCCAAGTGCGCAGTTTACCAGCCTCCACAAGACCGGCAAGCTCTGACAACATGGCCGTACGTTCTTCGATCGTCGAGTCCTTGACCCACTGACTAAGCCAGAAACCCTTCAGCGTAATGTCGTGGAAAATGAGCGTGCCCGTGCCAACGGCAACAGCCTCCTTACTCATACCGCCGTACGTGACATGCACTCCCTTTTTAGCCATCACCTTTGCCATCTCGAGACTGGTCTTTCCACCTACGCAGTTCAGGGCAAGCTTGGGAGCCGGTAAGTCCGAAATCAACTCTTTAAACTTGGCCGAGCCCATGTAGTCAGCCGTACATACAACGGTGGCACCCAGACTCTTCAGATGTGACACCGTCTCATCATAGTCACCGTCATCGCGTATAATGTTGATAGTCTTAATGCCACGCAAAGCAGCCAGCTGGATTACGGCCTGACCAACGGCACTGTTCGCACCATTCTGGATCACCACGTCGCCCTTCTTGAGCGTCACAAAATCATTCAGCATACGGTAGGCCGTAGATGGATTCACGGCCAGTGTGGCTGCATCCTCAATCTTAATTTTTTCTGAGATCTTCATCACATCGTTACTTTGAGCCACAGCTTTGCTACGCCACGTGCCTGTATCAATGATCGTCAATAGTAAATAAACCTTCAGTAACAATATTGATCACTCGTTATAACAATTAAGAAAAGTAATCACCCACCGAAACTTGCATGAATTGGAATGACTCGGTCATGAACTTTCACATTCGTGACACCGTCACCAATAGCTGTAACAATGGCTACACCTTCATTCCCACCTACGGCTGGGAGTTTAGGTTTAATGCCATAAGATCCCTGAATCTGCGACAAGTCCGCCACATTGATTGGTGCAGCTAGAAACTTGAGGACAACTTGGCCTTTGCCTGGAGCCACATCCTTGTCATTATCATCATCATCTCCATCAATCCTACAATAGTAAGTAGTAGTATGTAAGTAATAAGTAGTAGTCATAAAGAAATTAAATAATACTATTGAAATTGCACTTGGATTACACACTTGAGAACAGTTAATGGATGACCAAATTCAGAATAACGAATCGTGCTCATAGAGCGTTTGCCTTGTGCAATGAGGCCCTTGGTAAGAGAGGATAACATGATACAAAAACAATGTAGAGAACTGAGGCAGAACTGCTGTGAGACTGGGAGTGTGTGACGGCATTTTTTCGATATATCGAGATTTGGACATGACTTGATGTTTGTAACACATGGTTTTTGATATTTAGACATGATGTGGTCGGTCAGTATTTATTGTACAAGAGACGTTCGTGCAACAAACATGAGAGACGACATCCGCACAACATGTACGAACGCAATCGTCTAATTATCAGCTATATATTGCGTGGTCCACCGAAGCCTCTGGTGTTATTTATTATATGGATTAAAATTGGTTGGTTGACAATGAACGATGATGGTGTGACAAGATGTCATTGAGGCTTTGATTCAGTTGATAGATAGCAAGTGAAAAGACTTGTAATGTCAGTGTCCATTAGTATGTTTATGTATATGTTTATATTCCCAATGATTATATAAAAGTTTGAGATCCGTCAATCAGGTCTAAGGGATTATCATTGTACTCTTTCGAGAGTGTGTGTGATGCTCAGGTCTGATCATGTGGACACTTTTCTTGTTGACGGGAATTATCAACCATTGAATGGATATTGAAACGAAAAGAAGACGCTTTCTCAATGATCAATTGCAATGTAATAATCTTTGAGATCTGAACTATCATGTTGTCAACATGCTTTACTGAGAGAAAACCAATCCTATTGTATGTATACCGTCTCATTAGTATGAAACCTTCCAGTTAATACATTGTTTGAGTAAATGAAGCTTTGTCTCTAGTGTTGTTCAACAATGCATTCTGTATGCCTTTCAACCTACTGTTTGATGATATATACATATGTTATAGATAACTAACGACACTGGTGGAGAGTTTTGGCGTCTTGTCATCATGATTCGTATACTTCGTTGTCGTTGTAATGTCGGTGACTATGTCAGCAACAGTCCTGCAGAAGAACAGAACGCTTTTGCTTCTCATGACTTCGCCGTATCAACTTGCAATGCCATCAAGCAAGATATTGCTGCGAGTGGTGGTGGAACATAAGCTATTCTTGCAATGGTTCTGCCTAATGTGTGTCTCTTTACGTCGCAGACATCTAGTCTTTTCTGTTCGAAGACCAGCATGTCTCGACAAGAGCTTGAGCCTTGTACCGTCATATGCATGTGGTACGCTTATCTTCTCATTATAGCGATGACGGTCTTTTCGGTCACCTCTCTTTAGTGCTAGTAATGGTAATACACACTGCAATATTGCGTATTGATCATGAGTCTAGATAGAATGGTGACATCCAGCCATTACTCAGCACCCAGAAGTAGTCATCCATTTGCATCGGCGTAGGCAAAGTATTTCCTATTACTCTTCCAACTCTGCTTGTTGCTGTGCGTGTAACGTGCAAAGAACGATGGGTGATTGTCTGCAGCACGCAACAAACGCCAACTCGATGACATAGAGCTGCATCATTGTCACGCCATCTCCGATCCATCTTTGGCAAAGTCGACTCGACTTGCATTTGACGGTGCCAGGAAATGCAAGTATCACGTCATGGCAATTTAGAAGCGGTGTAGCAATTGCTGACTTTCTTCTAGATGCGTTGCTCGTGCTTTCTCAAGCAAAACGTCCGTGCACAATCGGTCTGTCACAAAGTTGACAGCGTTAGATGCAACAACGACCGACAATACTTTGACACCATCTCCTCCTATTCATTTGCAACTCATGAACTGAAGCAAGTCGAAGGAAAAGTGATTATTTTCACACGAGAACGCAGCATGAGCTGTCATGGGATGTCAAATCATACCAACCATCACTTCTAGTGACTTAAAGGCTCAAGACGACAATTTTGACAAGCGGCACCACAGCGTCAAGCACACCATCAAATGTTTCAAAGCGTTGCCTTAGCCCACGACGACAGTTTGCCTTCAAGCCTCCATAGATTGTATGTTCATCATTACCAGCAAAATGCTAGCTTTGCTAGCTTTGAGATGGCACCATCAACTTGCTAAGTCATCGAAAAAGATTCGTCTGCATCAAGTGATACCTGAAAATTGTGTAGACGAACGAAACGATAGTGACCTGATGGAGACAGTAACATGAGCTCTCGAGATTCCATAGTAGTGTCTGCATCTCTGACAAGACTGGCGCTTATCAACCAGGGATTCAAAAAGCGGCATCAGCCACACTTGCGTCAACTTGCAAAACATTTTGCATGAGAAACGCCGTTAAGTTTTCATAAGTCTCCTTTGCATTGCTCAGGTGGTCTTGGATGTGTTGAGGCCGTGTCTTTCAATTCACGTGCAGAAAACTGGTGAAACGTCACGTAGTGGTGGGATGGCAATTTGTAACAATGTGTTTGCTGCGGCATAACCCCATATTCGGTGCTTGTTATAGCATTAACTTGCTGAAAAATCTTTATGCCATCTTCACAGCAATGTGAAAAAACTTTGAGCCTTGCCGTTCCAATCGATCTGAACACAATTCTTGTTACACAAGGAAGCGCAGTGGCCGGGAACTGGGCAACAATCACCAACGTGGTGTCTCGTAGTTCGACTTGCTGCAAAGATTGGATAGAAGTCTTACGCTGCTGCAAGACGTCAATTAATATCTGCATCGAAAAAAATGACTCAACCTGACCACATCACAAGCACACGGATGATGATAGCAGCACACGATGCGAAAAACAATAGTACGCATTGATAGCGGGGTCTATATACGGCTTTAAACAAGCTCGACGGCTTCCGTTGTCACTATTACATGGCTCGTAAGATGTGCTGCGCTGTTTGCTGAATGGATTGCGTAGTAACTCAAAGTTTGGTCTGTATGCGCCCACAGGTCGGACATTCCAACGCCTCGTTTAGCTTTGGCACGATGCATTCATCATGGAACTGATGGCTGCAACTCAATGTCGTCAAGTAGTACGTGGCAGCACGACGTCGACTTGCGCTGCCTTTGCTTCGTCGAGAGCCACCAAAATCGTTGGCGTTGCCGCTACGCCTGCTTCCATTCGTCGTAGGCGTTCTTGACCACGGCAGGGAGAACACGCTGCTGTTATTGTTGCTAGTATTTTCAGAAAATGGCGACCCGCCCACCTCCGTACTCGATGGCGAGTTTCCGTGGGCGACACCACATAGCGGTGAGCCACAAATGCCGCAGTTTCCACTATTCAAATCGTTGACAATATTGTCATCAGTGATGGAATCCATAGTCGAGTTAGTCAATAAAGATGATCTATCATACTGTTGTTGCTGCTTCGACTCGCACTCCAGCAAACGTTTCTTCATCGGTGTAACAGGCTCTTTCCATTTCAAGTTATTCCTTCCAGTCAATGTTAGCCTGTTCTTCTCTAGTACAGTCGATTTGATTGGGTTTTCAAGTCCATATTGCTGCAATGCGTCTTCATAGATAAACTTGACAAGTTCATCTGCAAATACAGTCGTAAGTACTGAACAACTAAGGTTTTTCTTGTCAATTAGAAATCCATTCAGTGCTGAAAAGAACCGCTCAAGTGTTTCCTTACGTTGCTCCACGACTCGAGCACTCGAGATTGTAAACACTAGTTTCTTGGGAAAATAACTCTTTAGAAATCCATACAACCATGGACAATCGGCATCACAAAAGTGACCATGTTGTAATTTCTTCAATAAACGTTGCTGGAGCTTGCGATATTCATCAAATGAACGTGCGTGACGCCAGGTGAGATCAAGTTCCGTGTGTTTTACACTCATGACGTATCGTACATCCGTATGTCGCTTTGTTACAGAGAGGTTTAGTGTCACTTGATTTAAGTATTGTATCGCCAATGGAAGATGAGATTGTACACTCGTGAAGCGATCGTTTCGATGCGTATTAATATTTGTATCACATTGGACACTACTTTGACGACTTGATGAGCTCATTCGATCCGAGCCACTTGTAAAACTCAAGAGACTATTGCGTTCATTATTACATAGGTGATTTTTCTTTTCACTCTGAAGTAGCACATTATGATATGGTGTACGTTTCCAAGCATTTCTGCTTACTTCACGATACTTTTGGTTGTTTTGGACTGCCATGGATAAGTTTGACTGACGTGTAGACTTGGTGATGAAAGGGTAAATGGCTACACTTTTGGTCTATGTTACTTTTTGCGGTAGATTTTTCATGATAGCATAAACAGACGATTTTTTTATAAGTCATAATGGACGTTTTTATGTTTATTTATAATAGAGAAAATCCGTTTTCATGACATTGTTTAGTTATGTTATAGGTACTGATTACGTAATCTTGCCATGAGTTTTTACCTGATAAAAGAAACAAATGTGCATGCAACTTTAACCACGTGTTCGACAAATATCTGCCAACTGCCGACTATCGGAAGTATTCACATGAATTGGCAGCATGTTAACGCATCACGACAATGTCATAATGCATTTACTTGATGTTTATATGCATGATTTCATTGTCATGACCAAAATGTGCGCTACAGTAGAGACCGTGTAAACTAATATATACAAAAAATCTAGCATTATTTATCAATTAAAACAGGTTCACAGTGCTGTACGCATAAAAGAGACGATATTGATGACGCAATCAATTAGATAATCCAGAATTTGATACTTATTTCTCTGCATGATAAAGAACGAACAAAACGTAATATCATTTTTTGCAGGTTTTGCATCTACTAAAACCAAGTAAAAGTTGTATCACTTTAAGAAGGTTCCTAGGTCATACATAACCTGTTTTTTTTATGCTCGCTCTGGTCCTAAAATCGTATTTAATCCGTATTAATCCTAGTCAACACTATTTTTTACACCTCAATGCCCTAAAACGTTTTAATATTCCTGCTAAAAGAATGACTGGATGCCATTAAATCCTACTACGACGACTAAATCATGCAGCAGGACACAGGGAATTCCAATAGCGGAGTGACTCGAAATGGCAAACGTAGCCGCCACAATGGACCAATGCTCCAATTAAACACTAGACCAATTGAATATCTTATTGATACGACTGCTGAGGCTGTGAAAATGCGTTTTTTAAATTTTCTTTGCAGCTACAGACAGCAGGACGACATCCAGCTACAAAATGATCCTGAAACTTCTAAGATTAATTATAGTCAACAGGCTGAAGTCATGCGTCATACGGAGACCTCGTCCTTATTTGTGGACTTTTCCCATGTCCTGGAGTTTGATTCCGACTTGGCACAGGCTTTACAAGCTCAATATTACCGCTGGGAACCGTATTTACGACGTAGTGTATTTGAGTTTATTAGGCTCGAAGATCCGGCCTATACGATCAATGAGGATGCCAACAAGACTCAACGAGAATTTTTTGTAAATTTTTACAATTTTCAGCACGTTTCGCAGTACGAATGTCATTGTTTTTAGGATCGATGTTTTTTTTCCTTCTATTTTTAGGATTCGGTAGAAATGAGTAGGATAGGATAGGATCCTTGAGTCGTCCTACTAATGATTCTGTTGTTGTGGTAATGGTGGTGGTGGTGGTGAATGATTACAAATAGCATACGAGACCTACGGACCAAGAGCATTGGCGAATTACTGTCGTTTTCTGGCACCGTGACAAGAACGTCAGAAGTACGACCAGAATTATTGTTTGGAGCGTTTACGTGTGCAGATTGTGGTGGTGATACTACGGGAGTGGAACAGCAATTTCGATACACTGAACCAGTCAAGTGTCAGAATCCGTACTGTGTTAATACGTTTTCATGGGAACTGAATACGGAAAAGTCGGTTTTTGTTGACTGGCAACGTGTCAAAGTACAGGAAAACAGTGATGAAATTCCGGCTGGTAGTATGCCACGATCAATTGATGTTATTTTGAGACATGAAAATGTCGAACAAGCTAAAGCTGGAGATCGTGTTGTATTTACGGGCACGTTAATTGTCGTACCGGACGTTTCCAAGTTTGCGAAGGCAGGTGGAGAGAATGCAGTTGCTACTCGCAATCATACACAGCGGCCGCGACGTGGTGGAGAAAACAGTACAGAGGGAATGGAGGGTGAAGGCGTTCGAGGTCTCAAGGCTCTTGGTGTGAGAGAACTTACTTACAAGACATGTTTTCTGGCATGTAGTGTGCAAACGATGGAGCAACGCTTCAACAGTATTTCTATTCGTAGCGAGCTTAACGATGATGGCGTAGAAGGAGAAAACGGTGGTGACATGGCATTGCAAGATTTCAGCGAAGAGGAGCTGGCTTCGATCCGCTGTATGCAACAAGATCCGGACAGGTATTCGAAGATGGCAAAGTCGATTTGTCCATCTGTATACGGACACGATGAAGTTCGCAAAGGTATCTTGCTCATGCTGTTTGGTGGCGTACACAAAAAGACGATGGAGGGAATTAAGTTGCGTGGCGACATCAACGTTTGCATTGTTGGCGATCCGTCTACTGCAAAGTCGCAGTTTTTGAAGTACATTGTTGGCTTCTTGCCTCGCGCAATTTACGCATCAGGAAAAGTAAGTTCGGCTGCAGGTCTTACGGCTTCGGTGACACGAGACGCAGATAGTGGCGACTACTGCGTCGAAGCTGGTGCTCTCATGCTTGCCGATAATGGTATTTGTTGCATTGATGAGTTCGATAAGATGGACCCTATGGATCAAGTAGCTATTCACGAGGCTATGGAGCAGCAAACTATCTCAATTACGAAGGCTGGCATTCAAGCTACGTTGAATGCGCGAACAAGTATTTTGGCAGCTGCAAATCCGTACAACGGCCGATACGATAAGTCGAAGACACTCAAGTACAACGTGAATATCTCAGCGCCCATTATGTCTCGTTTTGATTTATTTTTCGTCATTTTGGACGATGGCGACGAAGTCACGGACCTAAAAATTGCAGAACACATTGTAAATATTCACATGCCAAGTGATCTGCAAGTAAAGGCAAGCGACAATGGTGCTTACACGGAAGAAGACCTCAAGCGCTATATTAAATTTGCACGAACGCTTAACCCTGTGATCACGCCGGAGGCCAAGAGGATGATGGTAGCTTGCTATCGAAGTCTACGCGAGAACGATGTCGTGAGCAATGGCCAAACCAATATTGCTTACCGCATAACCGTACGTCAGCTCGAGTCTATGATTCGTTTGTCTGAGGGTTTGGCAAGACTCGACCTCAGCGAGACGGTGCTGGTTTCACACGTGCAAGAGGCATATCGACTACTGAGCAAGTCAATTATCCATGTTGACACGCAGAATGTCGAGTTGGAGATGCCTGTTCCTGCACCAGCCGAAGATGAGGAAGATCGCGATGGACGTGATGGCAACGGTGGCGGAACTCGCGATGATGATGATGATGATGATGATGGAGGTGATGGCGACAATGATGAAGGTGGTAGCGGTCAGAATGGTACTGTTCCTGGTGAGTCGTTCCATGCAAAGAATCAATCAACTGCTACGAATGGTACACCATCCAAGCCAAAGCAAGCCTCGACCGCATCATCTTCTCTTTCGTTTGAGCGTTTTGCAAGAATTCAGAAAGCTATCGGAAGGTTCATTCGCGAGGCAGAAGAAGAAGCAACAAGTGCCAAACTAGCTCGTGAGGCCATTCGTGCACAGACTAGTGCAAGTGACAAAAGCGAGCAGGAGGATGGAAATGACGATTGCTATGAGGAAGAGGCGACTGGTGTACTACAAGGTGAACTCGTGACGTGGTACTTGTCGTCTCAAGACATTACGTCAGAGGCGCAACTTTCACGCGAGAAGCAGATGATTTGCTCTGTCATTGACAAACTACTGCAGGATAAAATCTTGTCTGTGGTGGACATGGAAGAAGATGACGACGAGACCATGCAGACAAGCCAAGGTGAGAACACTGACAATCAAGAACAGAAGGCGAAGAAGACACGGACGAAAAAAGTGTCAGCTGAGGAAGAAGATGCCAAGAAACAGCAGCGATATTTAACAGTGCATCCCAATTATGCCTTCGAGTAGAGAGCAGCAGAGTTAATGAAGACGAAGAAGCGGAGCTCAGCTACGTACTAGTTCATTACTCGATCATGAAGGCTCATGAAGCGTGTTTACGTCTAAAACGAACCCTTCCGTTGCAATCAATGGTCTGCTGTTATGTTTCATACTCCGTAGCTATTCGTTCGGACCACAAAAGCATGTGACACATGATTAACAGCATTCATCACGATAAAGCAGACAATATGACGTCTTATTCTTCATATTTAATAGTAGGAATCATAGTACTATATATATTTGGTAGTTTTACATTAAAAGCAGAAAAAGCACTAGCTCAAATGCACGCAACGATGATACAAATGCACACAAGCCCATAGTTTGCCAACTGTTTATGGTTCTTAAACATGGGGGGAGAGGAGGTAAAGACAGTTTATACAAGCTCGGCACTCTTTCTTCATCTTCTTCCACTCTTGTACAATTCATACTCGAGCTCAAGATGCTTCATAATGGTACATTTCACAGCTTCTTGAATTCATATGGATTCATTCCACTTGATATTTAAAGAAGATTGAAAGAGGTATTGTAATAAAAACACTCTTGTAATTAAACACCATCCTTCCAATCATAGTAGACACATGAACAGTGAAGTGATCTGACTTAGGATACAAAATATGGTCGTGCGCTACAAACTCACTCTCTTTCTCTCATCTCATCTCGTTGTGAACAATTGAGCAATTTCTCTTCATTTAACTTTCTTACTCGTGCACAATCATACACCGTGAGAATGGTGCATTAACAGTACACGAAAAAAACTCGACAGTCTGATTACCAGCCGTGACCATAACTCTACCAGATGGAGTCTTGCCTGCCTCATATAAGCTTAGCTTTATTGGGGTTGGTACCGTAGGAATTGTTGTCATATCAGCACTAGCCATGCCCATATTATAATCATCAAGCTCATCCAATTCATCGGCATAGAATGGACCTTCTTGAGAAGAAGAAGACGCCGTGGAAGCTCCAGAATTGTAAAGTTCGTGTTGTTGCTGGTGTTGATTGTGCTGGTGCTGGAACTGTTGGTGATGGGTATAGTACGTTGGACTAGTAGGAGACGTATAGTACTCAGCATAACTGCGTTGTCGATAAGACGTTGGCTTTACAGGAGACGAATAACTATCGTACGTGTGATTGTACTTGGTCGGGGATGAGGTATACGGTGAATGCGTATACTTTGTTGGTGATAATGTATACTGCTGCTGCGTCTGGTGATAACTGTTATTACTTTGGTGACGAGAATATCGCGACGTCGTCGTCGTCAACGCGTTGTTATTGCTGTACATAGTAAAAATTACTATGAAATCGATTACTTGAGCTGTTGGAAGGTTTTTGAAGAATGGCAAACCTACAAGGAGGAAGAATGCAACAATATACCGTCTTTTATTGAATTTTTGGATCAAGGAGGTACCCTAATCTGGCCTGCTTTTATCGCATTTAAACGTTTTCATTTGATCATTGTAAGAAAAAAAAAACGTCCGGACAAGAAAGCCAGTTCCACTGTACAATTTATTGAAAATAGATTACTAAAAACCTATACTCACTTAGGTTTTGTATGCATGATAGCACAAAGTCTGCGAGAGGGGAGCTTTAGAATGCAACGGCTGATCCAGTACCCAGAACAAGTTATAGCTAGCGACGTCGTCCAATTGCAAAATAACGTCGGAAGAGGCTGGGGCATGGGCGTTGACTAGCGACTTCTTTTTAAAAGGCCACTGCATTTGCTATGGTTGTGATTTTTATACATAAATGACAGATTTTATGCTGTCGATTTCAGTACAGTGTTGATGAAACGCGAACGGTAAAAAGGTGGTTTGCCTGAGTTTTACGTAACGGCACGACTCTTTATTGAAGCAGTCTACTTCTTATCTGACTGGAGGCTTTCGGCGAGACTTTACAAAACTAGAGAGTTGTCAAAAGTCTTGGTTGCAAACATTTACGGTAAAGTAGAGACGAGTGGATGGATGGATATAAGTGTACATTGCTTGCAATGTAGTAGCAGCAGAGTCTATAAATCTTTTTATATCGAATTTAAAAGGATATTTCGAGACATTTAACTGCTGGAAATTTATGAGCGCTGACAAATAAATTGCGGAATATTTTTTCTGTCTTGGATTAGAATACAAAACATTTTTTTTGCCCAATCAAATAATCGTTCGGTTGTCGGTAGCAAATCGAGCATACCTTGTGGCTAGGAATACTAGATATCCGTGGCAAATATGGTTAGGGCTCTATATGATGCTCACAACCTGGTGCGCACCGGTCAGCGGATGGGAAAAGAATACGACCGCCAAAGCTACTTATATATTTTAGAATATGAATTTTCTGCCAATGTCAAGTGCTTCAGCTATCACTTTAACCAGGCATACGTGCACGAAAAAAGAGCAGTACGTAAATGACTGAGCTAACAGCGCGGCAAGTAGAGGACTATCTTGTATTGTAATAAGAGCCATGATTTTAGGATGCCTATAGTCTTGTCTCAGTGAACATAAAGACGTGCGCGGGCAACTTCAATATGTGGTGGTCGTCTGCTTGCGTAAGCCGCGCGTGTCATCATAGACCCTACACCTACCAACGCGAATGAGCTGCTGCGATATAACTTTAATAGGTTGCTAAGGGTCTGAAGGAATCGTAAACCCTGTGACACATGTATATAAATAGTACTAATTTTTTGAACATTTGATTGCAGGTGAAACTGTACCAAGTTCTTATTATGTGGTTCTGTAAATCAGCAGCATCTTTCATGCAGGAAACATTGATAAACCAAGCGCTGAACCATTCATGTGGTGTGACGTATGCTAAGCAGCATTCACTTAGTAAACATTATACCAACAAACAATTATATTATCTGCCTGGCGAGGAGGGCGTTCTAGTCGAAAATATTTTCAAACAGCCTTCCTTTGCCTCCCGACGATCCCGCCTACTTAGTGCGCGTCCTGACTCCACTGGATCGTGTTGGGGTCAATGCCCTCCTGCACCAATTCCCACAGAGGACTCATCTCGCGCAAACGCGTCACGTGCTTTACGCACAAATCAATAGCATACGAAATCTCTGCCTCTGTCGTGAAGCGACCAATGCCGAAACGGATCGACGTGTGCGCTAGATCCTCACCCACACCAATGGCACGTAGCACGTACGACGGCTCAAGCGACGCGCTCGTGCACGCGCTACCCGAGGAAACAGCAATGTTCTTGAGCGCCATAAGCAAACTCTCGCCCTCCACGTATGCAAACGACAAGTTAAGATTGCCTGGGTATCTCTTTTCCAAGTCACCGTTCAGTACTACGTGCTCAATACGATCCGTGACGCCACGGTAGAGCTTATCTGACAAGTAAGTAACCCACCTGTGGTCATTTTCCATTTCCTGGACAGCCACATCGCATGCTTTGCCAAAACCAACAACTAACGGTGTCGCAAGGGTTCCGCTCCGTAGACCACGCTCTTGGCCACCACCCGAAATAATCGGATCCAGACGAACTCGTGGACGACGACGCACATACATGGCACCGACACCTTTCGGACCATATATCTTATGACCCGACATGGACATAACGTCAATTTTCATCTCGTTCACATCAATTGGCAACTTGCCGAGCATTTGTGCTGCATCAGTGTGGAAAAACACTTTGCGTTCACGACAAATCTCGCCAATTTCTTTCAATGGCTGCAATACGCCAATTTCGTTGTGCACCGCAATGATCGACACGAGCGCTGTGTTAGGACGAATCGTAGCCTTCAGCTGCTCCACGTCTACAAGCCCATTGGCATTTACAGGAAGATATGTTACGTCAAATCCTTCAGTTTCCAGCACACGACACGAGTCCAGAACGCATTTGTGCTCAATCTGTGTCGTGATAATATGCTTCTTTTTGGCCTTAGTGAAGTGGGCAATGCCCTTCAAGATGGCGTTATTACTCTCTGTAGCACCTGAAGTAAAAATAATTTCCTTTGAATTTGCGCCAATCAAGTTACCAACACTCTCACGCGCTTGCTCCACGGCCTTGTCAGCGTCCCAACCAAACTCGTGCGTTGTCGAATGTGGGTTTCCATACGCGTACGTCATGAACGGAAGCATGGCGTCAAGCACGCGCGGATCCATGGGCGATGTGGCTTGTACGTCAAGGTATGCGGGCTTTGCTCCCTTCGTCGGCGTGTCCTCGCCGCGTACAGCGAAGCCTGGCGAAAAGATCTTGGTCGATCCAACGTTCTCCAAGACGCTGACGGGTACCTCGTTTACGGGCGTGTAGCGCTTGTCTGTGGCAAATGTACGTGCTGCACTGTTCATTTGTACAATGCGCATGCGAAGGCTAACAGTCGTACGCGCAAAGCTTGACAGAGTGCGAAGAGCCTGCATCTTATTGAAGTAATCCACCGTTATTAATGTTATGAGTAGCTTCTTCTGTGGGCCACTTATGCTGAACTATTTATTTTAAGAGGTGAGAAAAATGTATGATACAAATATATAAAGGTATATCAAGAATCGTAAATTAAAAGATGTGGTCTTGCAGGAATGATTGTAGTGGCTTGCGGAATGATGATCGTAGTTTCAACTAGCTGATGAAAGCCAAATGCCAAACATAAGCAGCAAGCGATAGATAAGAAGCTACTACACAGAGAATCGAAAGCTTAGTTTCTCTATGATGAGTGTAATTGGTTTTCAGATATAAGTAAAGAACTAGACCGCAACCAAGATCTATTGTTCCTCTCATAACTTGTAATTCTTGGACTATGGTGTCTTCGTGTCATTATGATCGTATTTAGATGTTCATGCGCCGCGTGGTGGCAACAATTCCTGACAGAGCATGCAAGTGTATGTTAGATCAGGTACGGCAAGAATAGAGCAGATACGTCCCACGACACAATCACAAATGGACTGTGTAGCAACCGGCAATGGGTTTTCTGAGATGTATCCTGACGTAAAAATGCTGTCACGCGGCTATATCTTTGTCTTGATGTAGTGTGTAGGTAAGTGTTTAAAAGCTGCACTCTACGGCAGTTGTTTGGCTTGTTAGTAGTCTTGGTGTCGACATTGCGTGCATGGCAAAAAATTGTATCTATCTTTCCAACACTCAAGAAGCTTGTGTTTACGTAAATTTGTGCTCACCTGTCTAGCGACGGATAAGCACTTTGCAACATAACGCACTGAGCTCACGTTTTGAGGGGCTGAGGAGCAACTGTCAGCAATCAGCCATAAACCAGTATCAGGAGAAGGCGAATGGCAAAGGCGCGTGGAATCTTGCAACGCGTGTAAGCACAAGTATCCAACCTATATCAAGATACCCGTTGTATCTTGGTACTGCAGACCATACAAGTCCTTTCAACAAATCACCAAATCAGCAGTACATATCACACTGAGGCAAGAGTACCCCATCATTTACCTCAGCATGCGTGTTATTTCATTACAGTTAAACTCAGCTACATACCTAAAGTTCAATTGTTCATGACTTCCCACGCCGGATGAGAGCAGCTCAGAGATATGACTGCCTTTGTTTGGATGCACGGTTTGCTGCTTTTCAAGTTGCTTCAGTTTGTTCATCAGTCTTGATGCTACTTGATCGTGACTGAATAATCGCTCTTACATGAAGTAATCACAACGATTCATTTTCGACCAGCAACATGTCAAGTTATCAGCTGTCTGTGGCACAATGCTTATCTAGCACGCTGACGCATCTTTCGGCGCTTGCGACGAAGACGGCGCATACGTTTTTTGCGCCACTTGGCACGCATGCCACCATTCACAGACAGCAACATCTTGAGCGTGTCGCACTCGCCAATAGCATAGTCAGCAAGCGAGCCACTCGTCAGCTGCTTACCAGCGCATACAAGACGAAAGCTTTGAATGTACTCAACATCCTCCACAGCCTGCTCGATCGATGCCACCGAGGCATCCGACGCCACGCAAAGCGTGAGTGGGGAGCCTGAAAGGGTTTGCACAAAGAGCTGCATTTTTCTTCCCTCCTGGATGCTCAGATGCTAGAGTCACCAAACAAATTTGACAAGCAATACAACACGCACAGTTAACATTCTGGCCTCAAAATAATAAGACTATACCTAAATGAATAATGACGTACCCGAAACGATGTTCCAAGCAGAGCAGTCAGCAGAAAGTGAGGCATGATCGTTGCAAGCGCGACCGACCATGAATTACAATTGAATAACTGCGCGTGAGCTTGTCAGCTCCAACTTATACTTCATTTGTATACCGTAAGTCTCGCATCTTAAGATTGGTAGCTTTGACAATCGCGTGGCTTACACGTGTAAACATTTTGATTGGCTGAACAGCGACGTGGACTACTGGCCACCAAAATATTAACATGTATTTGGCGTACAACACACCAAATACCCTAATATAAGGCTTTAACTTAGTCTTGTTCGGTCAGTCAATAAATTTATAATCCGCAAAAGATGCAAAATCTCGGTCAAGACGGTGGTATAATCCGAATAAAACTCTACCCACATTAAAAGTTAGCCTCAAAGCTTGTCAATGAGAGTCACCTGGCTCTTAAAGGCTCCGTGCTCCGTGAAAAGAGCACACTTTACTTGGTGTAACGGGGTTACACAAAGGTGTGTATTTTACATACACACCTGTGGTGTGGCTGTACCTTGGGTACAAAAGTAGGTGATGTGACCGTACCTGAAGGTACGAAGGGTCACATCGTGGCAGAGAGCACACGTGGTCACTATACTTTATTTAAATATAGTGATATACATGTTTGCATAATAATATAGGTGGCCACGTAAATAGTGACTAGCACTAAGTATAGAGTAGATGCTTCTATATTTAGTGCTAGAAGATAAACATAAATATAAATCAGTTTTAAACCTGCTCTGTAAGCATCACTGCTTGAGCGTTCTATTCCTCCTGAGGAATCGTATCACTGATACTAGTCTCTTGGAGACACGGTTGTCTAGAGCCAAAAAGGTACAAGTGTACGAGCTAGCCTAGGAAGGTTTAAGCACCCTAAGACGTACAGCTCTTGGAGCTTGTCTTCCTCTGCACGTAGTGCATAAGTATCTTGGCTACAGTATCTCGGCTACACCTGGTAGCACTTGCAGTCAATCCCGCACCTGGGTTTGCGACTACGTCTCTGTATGAAAATGGACATCGATGAGATATCAGCGGTTGGCCTGTCACAGGCACAACAGAAAGCGTTGCATAAGCTGCTTCCTATTGTTGGCCCTAAGGGCGTGGAGTACCGCATCGCCCAAGGCGACGAAGAGGTTAACAAGCGTATTCGTATGCTTGAAGAGTATAACAACGCTATAGTCGAGCATGTAAAGGCAGGTGCCTTCTTCCGCGCCTTCGCCCACACCCAAAGGACCTATAGATCTTGGCCGGACTACCATTGCCGACGACACTCAAATCCATGCAATCGATTTAGAACGCAAGGAGGAAAGAAGAAATTGCTTCAAAGCGATGAAAAGTCATGAAACCTAGAGGCAGATGACGAGGTCTTTGGATGGTCAACCAGGGTCTAGAGTGGGAAGACCTCGGTCTTCTGAGGTGGACTTTTGGACCGCTAAGGTCGACTCTGGTCTATCATCAGTAAATAATGGTCTTTCGAGATCGACCCTGGTCTGTCGTTGGTACACCTTTGGTCTTTCGAAGTCAACGTTGGGTTTTCAAGATGACGAAGAAGAGTAATTGACATGAGATGTGAATTTAGGAAAAGTAAGATATAAACCGAGAAGAAGACGAACGCAAGTATATCATGCAGAGAGCCTAAGGAGTGGAGCCAAAAAATTTTCGGATGCGCGATACCTAGTATCCGAGATGGGGCTCCGACGAAAGCCGTTCCGGGTGATTCAAAGGTACGTGGAGTCAGAGATTTATAGAGCTTTCAGCAAGTTGGTAGGATCCGACCCTTCCTCACAGCCTGGAAACCGGTACACATGTAGCGAGGTCGAGGGGAGGTGTCAAAAGAAGGGGTCAAGCAGGATGACGATGTCGCACTGACCGTCACTCATTCCTTGAAAGATTACGTTGACGACCCCTCGCCACGCCCCAATCGCCCGACCACAACGCTTCATTTTCGCGTTATAGTACGACGAGAGGAAGGTGCTGGCGCGCGTTGGTCTCTAGAGATCCATAGGCAGTGGGTAGCCTCCCAAATTGTCTGGATGTGATCCTCATCAAAACGCATGTTGGCCGCCTCCAGTTCCGCGAACCAGTCCACTGGCTGGAAGGACCCAGGTGGGGTCGAGACTCGTGCCGACAGCCATGGTCGGGTGATCAACAGGCTCTTGAGCATTGAAGAGCCGACTTGTGATAGTTTTCACTTGGAAGGTCGATCGACCTTCTTGTTCGATGGACCGAACCAGCCCTAAGGCAGCTTTAGGCGGTCGCCCAAGTCACTAGGGGTCATCGTCAAGATGCTTAAAAAATGATTAGGTCGACCGACCAAGGTGCTACTTCCGCAGCAGTGACCGATTTCACCTGCATATACTCAGGAATGACGTTACCTTTTGGAAGCGTAGGTTCCCCACCTAGGACGAAGTCTGCCTTCGCGACCGTGACGGGGCCTTTTTTTGCCGGGAACTGACTCGGTCTCTGAGTTGGAAGACCCGAACATGGCCCGGAACAACGATGGACTCGGGTGAGAAACGGGTATTGGTACATAAGCGGTCAAGGCAGCTGAGATCGGCTGACTAGTTGGTGCGGAGCGTTGCGTTGAAGACCGCTACCGAGCTAGGGACGTCCGGACCACCTCGTTATCATCGCTTGCCGTGTCGTCGTCCCGGTCAGCGAAGAAGCAGAAGGTAGACCACAGAAGGTTTTAGAATCGAGAGTAGACGAAGCTGGAGTGCTGGTCGCTCTCGACTTGACATCTTTAGCGGTCGCTTTAGCTGATGGTTGCTGAGACCTTTTGCCTAACGCCAGCGCAGGAGGCTTCGTGGGGACAGCTAGTGGGAGAACCACGGGATCCTTAAGCGGATTTGTGGCATAGTCCACATGCTCTAGCACCGCCACCAGGAGAGAGTGCTGGTGCTGGCGGTAGTTGATCTGCGATTGCAATCCCTCCGCTAGCGCTCTCTTATGTTGGAGACCCTCACGCGACTGGCCCACAAGATTGTTGGTGCCGAGCAGCTCTCTCTCGAGGCGCTCGCACCTGTCGGTCCAGTAGGCGGCGGAGGAAAAGACTTGAGCTAGTCGACCCTCGCACGCCTCGAGTTGACGTTCATGAGTGTATATGATGGCTATCAGGTTGCGCAAACCTGGTGCACGTCTACGGGTCCCCCCATCGTAGCTGAAGGGTCGCTCGACGGGGTGATGGGCGGGACACAGGCGACCGGTGGACTCACTAAGTTCACAGCAGCAGAGGAGCTGAAGGAAGGCAAAAGGGTCTATAACGGCCGGTGGACCCTTGTCACTACAGCTTCGAAAGAAACCTTCGTAGATGGTCCTGGCACCTCGGGTGGATTGCCGATCGGCGACGAAGTGGGGACCCGAACCTCTGGGTTAGGAGCGAGTGCGGGAGTGACCAGGACCGGTCCACCAGACGGTGGGTCTACCCCCGAGGGAGAAAAAGCCAAAGTCACATCAAGTCAGACAGCAGATATCCCACACCAAACAAGCGGGAAGTACTTACAGGATGAAGGAGTCGAAGACATGCGCGTGCTAAAGCGGCTGTACCGTTGACCAAGTGCAGAGGGAGGCTTTGAAGCGTTTTATGAACTGGGAAGCCAGAGGAACAGTGGCCCAAAGTGAAAGGGGCTTGACAAGGGTGAGAATTGATCGTTAAGTAAGGAACAGAGATATAGGGCGCACAAAATGGAGGGAAAACGACCGTTGGATGGGAAGAATTTGCGGTCAAAGCCCGTTGGTTGTCCACCATTCAAAGAAGTTAACCACACACGGTTCAGCCGGATGGACTGCGGTCCCTCAACGTGGACCACGATCTTTCAAGGTCGACTCTGGTCTATAATTGGTAGACCTCGGTCTCTCAAGGTCGACCATGGTCTATCGTTGGTAACCTTAACCTTTCGTCATGGTAGATCTCGGTCCTTCGCCGGTGGACCATCGACCCCGGTCCCTGGAGGTCGACCTTGGTCCTTTGTTAATAGACCTAGGTTCAGAGGTCCGGCTACCCTAGCTACCAGAATTAAGAATCAGGTGTCAGGTGAAAATAGAGCAAAGAATTTAAAATATAGGACTATATTAATTGCTACTCAATTTGATATCTACGTGGCACGCCTTCAGTGTGCTCATAAGGAACTTAAATAAGTCTACCCACCGGTTCCGGGAAGGTATATATTTAAGCCTCCTTCGAAGACAGCCGTGTGGTAAGACTCAAGTGCGAAGAGAGCCCCAGGATATATTGGCCTTCGTGTTCGTATGAGTAGCACCCCCACTCCCCAATCGATCCGCTATCGGAAGCGGTCTCCCTACCCTATCGGTTCGGGAGCAAGTAACGACCAGGCAGTTAACACCCCTGAGATATCAAGGAAAAGTCCATGGTTGAGAATCTCCCCTGATGAATATGGTTATAAGCCCACCCTCGACCTAGTCGACCGAGTGGCCACCTACTAGCCTACCGAATGAAGAATATTCACTCAAAGCACCCCTATGTCGACCTTTTTCAAGGCCGACATCGCATCCACACCATCTTTTGAAGAGTACAAACCGCCAGCCGACGGGTACACCGCGTTCATAGAAGGCCCATACGCGCCTTCGGGGTATTCCCTCCGACAGTCGGAAGTCCGGCACAGTAAGTGGCTTGGGGTCTCATTACTCAGTTTTAAAGAACCCACTTCACGCTTTCTTTTGCGATCTTTCGGCTTCTTGATCTTGGATGTCATTTTCAAAGGTTCTGTAGATGAAGATCTCTCGGTTTTAACCGATCGATTTTCACCTAGCAAGTTGCGCTTCCTAACGCGATCCGCGGGGATCCGCGAAGGGACCTAGATAGGATTAAGAAAATGAACAAATAGAGAAAGGAAAGATCCAAGGTGGATTAAGGCAGCTTTTAGCTTCAGTGTTTTATGCAATCGCCTGAGGAATCTCCAAGCGATCCACACCTTCTATTAAACCCCATCAAGATCAAGGTCGAAGCAGTTCCACCGAGGAAAGTGCACCCGTGAAGTCGTCGGGTGCAAAAAGTGAGGAAGAACAACT